GCAAGGTTTGAAGCTAGTTTCTAGGCAGTTCAGAAAGCAACGTTAGGCACCGTGGGCTGCCGGCTGCGGGCCCAATCCGTCCTTCACTGCCATGGTGTTTTAGCCCTGCGACACGGTCCTTGGACTCCAGCTTGGACCGAAGCGGTGCAGAACGAAAGCCGGCTCCAGGAGGACACGAGCAGGGTGGCAGTTGGCAGTGCAGAAACGCAGGAAAAGTCAAGGTTTGGACTAGTTTCTAGTCGGTTCAGAAAGTGACGTTTGGCAGATACGAAAGCCATGGTGGCAGGAGCAGGACGAGCAGGTGGCAGTTGGCAGTGCAGAAACGCAGGAAAAGTCAGGTTTGGACTCTGGAGCCGCAGAACGAAAGCCGGCTCCAGGAGGACACGAGCAGGGTGGCAGTTGGCAGTGCAGAAACGCAGGAAAAGTCAAGGTTTGGAGCTAGTTTCTAGTCGGTTCAGAAAGTGACGTTTGGCAGTCTGGGCTACGGGCCGCGGGCCCAATCCGTCCTTCACTGCCATGGTGTTTTAGCCCTGCGAGGAGGTCCCTTGACCGGAGCTGTGCCGCACGAAAGCCAGCTGTCACACAACAGGCAAGTTGGCAGTTGGCAGTGCAGGAACGCAGGGAAAAGCTAGGTTTGAGCTGCAAGACGACGCAGGCAAATTGGCAGTTGGCAGTGCAGGAAGGCAGGGAAAAGCAAGGTTTGAAGCTAGTTTCTAGGCAGTTCAGAAAGCAACGTTAGGCACCGTGGGCTGCCGGCTGCGGGCCCAATCCGTCCTTCACTGCCATGGTGTTTTAGCCCTGCGACACGGTCCTTGGACTCCAGCTTGGACCGAAGCGGTGCAGAACGAAAGCCGGCTCCAGGAGGACACGAGCAGGGTGGCAGTTGGCAGTGCAGAAACGCAGGAAAAGTCAAGGTTTGGAGCTAGTTTCTAGTCGGTTCAGAAAGTGACGTTTGGCAGTCTGGGATACGGGCCGCGGGCCTAATCCGTCCTTCACTGCCATGGTGTTTTAGCCCTGCGACACGGTCCTTGGACTCCAGCTTAGACCGAAGCGGTGCAGAACGAAAGCCGGCTCCAGGAGGACACGAGCAGGGTGGCAGTTGGCAGTGCAGAAACGCAGGTAAAGTCAAGGTTTGGACTCTGGAGCCGCAGAACAAAAGCCGGCTCCAGGAGGACACGAGCAGGGTGGCAGTTGGCAGTGCAGAAACGCAGGAAAAGTCAAGGTTTGGAGCTAGTTTCTAGTCGGTTCAGAAAGTGACGTTTGGCAGTCTAGGATACGGGCCGCGGGCCCAATCCGTCCTTCACTGCCATGGTGTTTTAGCCCTGCGAGGAGGTCCCTTGACCGGAGCTGTGCCGCACGAAAGCCAGCTGTCACACAATGCAGGCAAGTTGGCAGTTGGCAGTGCAGGAACGCAGGGAAAAGCTGGGTTTGAGCTGCAAGACGACGCAGGCAAATTGGCAGTTGGCAGTGAAGGCAGGGAAAAGCAAGGTTTGAAGCTAGTTTCTAGGCAGTTCAGAAAGCAACGTTAGGCACCGTGGGCTGCCGGCTGCGGGCCCAATCCGTCCTTCACTGCCATGGTGTTTTAGCCCTGCGACACGGTCCTTGGACTCCAGCTTGGACCGAAGCGGTGCAGAACGAAAACCGGCTCCAGGAGGACACGAGCAGGGTGGCAGTTGGCAGTGCAGAAACGCAGGTAAAGTCAAGGTTTGGAGCCGCAGAACTAGTCCAGCGTTGCCGTCACGTTCCAGCTTTCCCGGCGGCATGTGCGTCCGGCAGAGTTTCTGTGCCTGGCTTTGATTTGGCCAGCGGCCTTTTCTGAGTAAACGATTGTTGCGCACGTTGGGCATGCGTGTTTGTGAATGCGACCGGTGACAAAGCCGCCAACGACACGGAAAAATTTTCCGCACGCAAACGAGTGATTAATTTGCCCAGTCTCCACAGTGCTTTTCACTTGTTGCTGGCAGAATGGACATTGGTACCAGCGCTTCTGTTTGCCATTCTTCGTTTTCACATCCGGCTCTGGCGGGCACGGGTCTTCCTGGCTGGCGGCGCTTGCGGTGGCAGCCGCAGGGCTCACGGAACCGGTCGCGCACTCTGGCCGTCGGTCTTTGCAGCTTTGCATTTCTTGGGTGAGCGCCTTTGTCGTTATCTGCCTGGTCCTTTCCAGAATTTCTTGGCGCACTTCGTCTATGATGGCCTGTTGCCGTCGACTTTGCTCGCGCCGCCGTAGCGGCGTCAACCGTTTGTTTGCGCGACGGGCAATTTGACACACCAAGGCTAAGCTGATGCACGTGTTGCAACACTGCCTGCCATTTTGACTGGCATCGCGGCTTTCGCGCCAAGCCGTAAACTCTGCGTGCGGTTTTCGCTCTAAGCATTCGGCGCAAGACCAATGCCCCCGCAGCTTCTGGACGCAGTCACGGCAACAGCGTCGGTCAGCATTGCGAGCTTTCCAGGCAGCAGGGCCATACTCTTTCTCTGGCTTGGGAACCCCACATTTGAAACATGGTTTCTTAGCTTCGCATGTCAAACACACACGGAAAAAACTACATTGCCGTTGGCGGTGCTTTTCCGGAAAATTGGTCTCGACATGCCACAGCTTGCACACGTTGCATTGCCATGGCGTCCCGGCATCTGCGTAATGCTTTGTGCATTCGCGACAAACGCGATCTTTGTCGTCGCGCTTCCACTGGCCAGCGGTGAAAGCTGTAGATGGCTTGCGCTCTGCGCAGGTTGAACACGCGCGTTCTTCACAATATTTGGCCAGCAAGTCCTGCCAATTGATCGGTTCCCTGCGAAGATGTCGGAGCAGCAGGTCCCGCCCTAAACCAATACCTTTCTGGAATGGAGCGGCGTCAAAAGGTCGAAAGATCAGGAGCTTCTCACGGCCTTGCACGCGGGTAATGGCGACGTAGACGGTAAATGGATTTCCCCTTGGCCCTATGCAAAGATCTGTCGTCACGCCTTCCTTGATGGTTTGGCCTTGTGCGACATGCGCTGTGATAGCAAACTGCGGCGCCAGCGGGAATTGCGTGCGTGAGACACGGAGCTTGGGGCTTCGACGTTGCCGGTCCAAGTACCACACGCGTCTACAGGTCACAACTGGGTAGACGTTTGCGTCCGGGACACCGGATATTTGCCACGACGTGGCGGTGTCAAACTTCACGTATACCACGGCCGGCAAGTTGTTGCACACCATTCCTTCGGGTGCAGGTGTCGCATCGGCAATCGCAGACCAACCGACTACATAGCCCTTGGTGCCTTTCAGGATTCCACGCTTGCGGTCTAGGTGGTCTGTGGCCCGAACAGGCATGCCCACGCACAGCGGCAAGACGCCATACAGCCCACCGCATTCCTTGTCGTGTCGCTGCAACCACTGCAATTTCTCGGCCGTCAGATTCGGCTTTTCTTGGAGGACCGCTGCCGAAGCAAGATCGCGTGCCACAAATAAATACGGTAGGTGTCCTCGGGTTTTGCCCATTGGAGGGCGCGGACCTTGTTGACGTGATATTGATGTCATTTGTGCCGAAGATTGCAACTGCATCGCTGAACTCGTTCTGAAACCGACTGTCCGCATCGCCTTGGGCGACAAGTATACGCGAGCGGCGATCAGTCGCACACGTGTCGCATTCGGCCAGTTGAATGGCTTCTGGAGACAAACCTTGCGTGATTAAAGCGGCGCAAGCAGGTCGTTGACACGTTGCGTGCCCAGCAATCCAGCTTCCTGCCACCGTCGTGGGCTTGCCGTGCAAAAACTTATAGCATACAAACTGTGCTGATACTCCTACTCTCTCCTACCTGCTATTACTTCTCCTCCTGCTACTGTTGCTGCTAAAACTGTTGCCACTGCTAGTAGAGGGAGCAGTAAAAAAAAAACAACACCAGCAGCAGTAGCGGCAATACAAGGAGGAGCTGCAGTAGCAGTAGAAATAGCAGTAGCAGTAACAGTAGTACTAGTAAGAGTCAAAGTAATAACAGTAAAATAATCTAATGGAGTAGTAGTAATAGTAGCAGCAGCAGCAGTAGTAGTAGAAGTAGTAGTAGTAGCAGCAAAAGTAGAAGTAGAAGTACAAGCAGAAGTAGAAGTAGAAGCACAAGTAGCGCAAGAAGCAGCAGCAGAAGTAGTAACAGATTCGGACTTTCATATTGGCACTTGTTGTGGCGTGACTGGGTTCGGATATGGACCAGGCATGGAACGGGTCTGGATCGGGGTATGGATCAGGACACCATGCTTTTTTAGTTCTACACGTGCCAGGCAAAGTAGAAACAGAAGGAGTTGTAGTCATAGCACCACTAGAAGTACAATAAGCACCTAGTGGAAGTAGAACCGGTCTTACAAGCCTCCAAGGTGCACTTGCAATATTGCGAGTAGCTAGTCAACTAGTTACATTTGTCCAACAACCGAAGCACACGGAGAACGTGAGCCAGCACCAGCAGCGAGAGCACGACCAGCAGGAGCAGTAGCAGCAGCTCCTGGGAGGATAATCACTAGTAGTGGCGGCGGCAGCAGCAGCGGAGGCAGTGGAGGCAGCAGTAGAAGCAACGGTAGTAGCGATGGGAGTAGCAGTACGACGACCAGAAGCAGTATATATTAGGATAAAAAGCATCGTTAAGGCCAGCATCAGTCTTTCTTCAACGAGAAAGGGGTATGGATCAAGGGTATGGATCAAAGTATGGATCGGGGGGTATGGATCGTGTGTAGCTTTGGCGCCTTGATCCATACCTTGTATTTTGACTCGTACCCATATAGTTTTCTTGTAGGTTCGGGAAGTGACGTATGTGTCAACTCCCCCTCTCTCCCAGGGGTCGGCGGCAGGGGGCGTAGCCCCTTAATAATCTTGCCCTCCTGTGATCAAATTGTGATTAAGCATGATTAAGCATGATTAAGCTCTTATCGAAGCAAAGTCCCAGAAATCTGAGGAAATCTGAAGTGATCGGTTCCATAGACAGTTTCTTTCAGTGAGACATCGATAGACATCGTGTGAGTCGGTTCTCCGCACCTTCCCAGGTCTCCTTGGAGCGGGAGCTGTTGCCTCTGCCTTGCGGTTGAGCTTCCAACGCGGCATTCTGCTCCACCTCGACTGACTGCATGGTGAATCACTGTGAATCAGTGTCTTTTGGAATTTCCAAACAAATCTGTTGGATGGTGTTGGATGGTGTTGGATGGTGTAGGATGGTGTAGGATGGTGTAGGAGCGCAAGGAATTCTATGGATTCTCCAAACCTAGTGCAGCCAAGGTGCAGAGCTGGCGCTGTCTTCGGCTCCCGTGATACGGGCGGCTGAGACCTATCGACCAAACAGGCGCTACACGCACGCGCGCACACACGCACACACTTGAACACGTGCCTTCAAAGCTTGAACATCCAACTGATCTCAAGTATTCTGCAGTATTCTTAGGTATTCTGAAGTCTGCCAGATTCTCCTGATCTGCCAAATTCATCCAAATTCTCGTAATTAAGGGGGAACATGCAGCAAATCTTCGCAGGGGCCCCTTCTCCTGTCTGGCGGCCTCCAGTGCATTGAATCCAGTCCAGACCACGAAGACCTTGAAACAGCGCAGCTAGGACTGGTTGCTTTTGACTCCTGCCATTGGAGTCTAGATTCCGCATCCATGTTGGTTCAGAAGCTTGATTGAATCCAAGGAGTTCGAAGGGTATGGTTTTCCGAACTGTTTGCCTACTCCTGATTTCACCGTGCTCGAGCGAGCTTCGGCCTAAAGGGGATGGAATTAATCGCAATCTGCTGCCAAGGTGCTTTCACTATGGATCGAAGCGCACGGCACCTCGCCTCCAATGCCGCTTCTGAAACCAATGATCATGAAGGGATCTGACATGTTTTTCCGTTTCAAACCTTTTGTCAACAAATCTACCTGCCAATATGGAAACAAATCCAAGGTGCTCCAAGTTTGTGTTCTGCTATGCTGAGTCATGCTGGTTCGGGTTTGGCGCCACCAAACCATCATCCTCGGGGTCCTGTTGCTCCCCTCTGAGATCTCTCGGCTCTAAGTTTCTTGCCATGGAGGTGGCGCTGACACGGGCTCCTTTGAGCCCTACTGCGAAAGACTGCGAGTAACACTCCGTACTGCCTACTTGTGGTCCAATGTCTGCCATGATATGCCCTATATCTCTCATGGTCTCATGGGGACCGGTTGGAAACAAAGGGATATGTCACTCTCATTCATTAAATTCAATGTTTTATTATTTTTATTTTTCACTGCCCAACGAAATTTGCCAGTTGCCACAGTTGCCCCATGACTTGCATCTCTTCCCTTCTGAAAAGGCGCCGCGCAGCAGACGCAGCGCATGTTTTCACTCCAACTCTGTTGGTTTGACAGTGCCATGACGCGATTCTGCACTTGGTCTGGGGCTGTGGGGTGCCAGACAGCCCATCGGATGGCTGTCTACTGGCCTCGAAACTCCACCAGGCATGTGGGGAGGGGCCGTTCTGGGCAGTCCCTGGTAGTTGAATAGCAATGGAAAGGCAGATTACTTGAAAGCAAAGGCTGTTCAACGGTTGTTCAACAGTTGTTCAACAGTTGTTCATCGTTTTTTCCGTGTATCAAAAGGGTCACTTTACACGGCCCCTAGCGGCTGTTGCCGATGGTAGTTGCTGCAGCCTCGGAGGAGGATTCGCACGCGCTCTGCAAATCAGGCGTGGTTGCTGCTTCTTGCAAAAAAAATGTCGCGTCTCCTTGACTTCAGAACTCTCGTAAATCTATTGGGTAACGCTAGTGGATTTTCATGGATTTTGATGAATTTTAAGATGCCAAGCAGGCTTGAGGCAGCTGAAAGTAGCTGTTTACACGCCACCTTCCACGCCTGCGGCCAAGAAAGCTGGAGCTAGGCCAGCTGCTCATCTAGAAAACTTACATTCGCCAGAGATCCTGGGATTAGATCAGGGTGATCACGGGAGATCTGGCACTGAGCCGGTGATCTGAGACGTTCACCGGTGAATTTGGACACATGAGCCCTGGAAGCAGCCTGAACTCTGACAACTAGGCCAGGCAGCTTCAAGACTGTGACGCCAAGATGCTCGCTCTACAGACCCAGCAAGCATCAGATTGGACGATTGCGTCCAAATCTCAGGCAAAACAAAGCTCAAAAGTCTTTGCGAAGTGCGGTTGCAGTTGTATACTATTGCAGACTGTATGATATGTGTCTATATGACTATATGATGACTATATGTAATGGTTGTCATCAACACACAGTCTCAAGGCATTTCTGGGTGAATCGGAGTCACCTTGACTCATGGAATGCAAGATGGCCCAATTGTGCTCTGGTTGAAATGCAAAAGAAACTGCCAGTTACTGAAACTGTCAGCTTCATGCGGGCTTGCCAGCCTGCGCAGGGCACAGATGGTGACAAAACGAGCCTGCTAATTAGCCTAATACCGAAGCCTCAAGTTTCTTTCACTTTGATCTCACTCATACTTATGCTGTGTATGTACGTATATATTCCTAGCATCATCTGGACTATGCAAATCCTTCCTGTGTTTTAGTATGACTTGTATTGCCTTGTTATATCTGTGCAAGCAATTGTTCCTCCCCGCCTTCACCTTTGCGTCGTGCATCTCTTGCAAAACCTGCCACTTTCTAGCCCGTTCCTGGAGACAGAGGGTGTCAGTGATTCAAAATGCGTCAAAGATTTGATGCAGGAAACATGCAACAGAGCCACAAAAAACAATGGCCGTGGGGAAAATACACTTAAAATACACTTAAATCATCTTGAATCCAAACTCTCAGTAGATTCAGGAGACCACAATCACCACCGATTCAGTCCTGCTCTCGTCGGCCTTCCTCCTCCTCATCAGCACGATGCTTCGCTGAGCACTCATCGAAGAGCTGAGGATCAGCCTGCAGCAATGAGCCCAGTGAGCTCATGGTACCACAGAAATTGCAAAGGACAACCTCGGCAACCTGTCACCTTCAGTGCTTCATTAGTCTTCATTTTCAGCAGCGACAGGTCTGTGCCTCCATCAACAATTTCAGCACGTTGAAGGTCAGTCCGTGCACCTCATTTGCAGCCAGCTGGCAGAGACGAACCTACAGTTGCGCCTAAGATTGATAGCTTGAAGAATGGTCTGTGACACAAATTCTGTAACTTCCTCGATTGGCATCTTGAGTGGCTGATGGCCATGAGTGCCCCACAGCACTGTTCCAATGCTGCTTGGAGTTCTTGTACAGGGCACAGATGATGATAGGGAATAGCTCCTGCAAATGAGCTGTATACCAACCGTACTGTAGATCCTTTGAACTCTGCATGGTTCCCCTTATGATATGAATGTTGCGGCATGGTTCCTAAGGACCCCGAAATGTGCGATTAGCAAATGCTGTCCGTACGGTTGGCGTTGATCAACTTCACAATGTAGTCCTCAGCGCATGGAATTTGAATTGTGGGTGCTTGTGAAATCCCTTCCCCACGAATAAGGATGCTCACGTCGATCGAGTTCAACAAAAGATTCTGAGATTTTGTCATTCATAATATTCATACAGAGAGCTTCAGCACCCTTCTGCAAAGGGTAAGAGTTTGAATATACAATCCTGTCCTTTAGCTTTGCTTGTCACTTCGTAGATAAAAACTGCGTTCATTCATCTATGGCTGGCAACTTGTGCATATTCCGTGCAGCATGTCGATTTCTGCCAAAGGGAGAATATGGTAGAAAACCAACAACATAGTTAATTGAAGGGAAAACATACAATTCACAAATGAATATATTCAATATATATATATATTTATATCTATATATAGACAGAGAAAGAGAGAGAGAGAGAGATGACAACAATAACAATGATAATACAGTTGGAAATAAGATGATAGATTTCTGACTGCAGCAAAGTTGCTGTGTTCCAAAAGAACAGTGTCCTTTCCGCCACCTCTGCAGCAGCTATTGCCGGCTGAAGGGGAACTCACAAGCTATTCGGACCGTCGCTCAGCTGACTGCTATTTCTATTTCTGTACAGATATGATACGGTATGATCTTAAGTTAACACCCCAAAAAATGTCGAACAACATTTAGCTTCTAAGCACTAAAACGGCTTCTAAATGCTTGGCCTGCCAACAAAATCAACCTGATCTCAGGCCTGGAAGTGCGGGCATGTGATGCAAAGGGCCAAGCGCCGGAACAGCACATCCTCAAGCCATGTCGGCATCGTCGAGAAAGTTCACTGGAAATCTGTTTATTTACAAAAACAGGAGGATCCATCAAATCTATGGCAGCATGTATGGTCACATCATGTAACTTACTCAGCAAGAACCCGCCAGGGAAACTGGTGCCACATTTCCGCTGCACCGTGCGGCACCTGCATTCGATGGAATTCTGGTGGCTGTGTCAGTTCCAGTGTCTCCTGTTCAGCGCGGATGCGGGCAAATAAACGGCCGTGTGAGTTTCAATCATATCTTCTATTCCAAGAAAGAGTAGTCGAACTGCGATTGTGCATGTACACAATATACATTTCTTGTAATTCTAAACATAAACTCACTGAGAGTTGGTGATCAGTCCTCAAGCTCATTGAGGAACAGCACCTGCTTCGATGTAATGGACACCTTAACGTGAGATCAAACCACAAGGTTTCAACGGCGCAGCATTGTGAGAATTTGCAGACATCAGATTCGAAAGTTATAAAGAAAGCATATGAGGGTGTCCAATGGTGTCCATACATGGGGGACCAAATCATCTACTTCGGTAGTTTCCAGCATAAACGATTCATTTTGGGGCACCTTTTATGGAAAACCCATGAAAACACCATTTTTTCGCACAGTTTCTTCAGATCGCCAGATCGTTGAGCCGTCGCACGGGCCAGTAGCGGAGCATCGAGGTGATGATGTCGTAGGCCAGGCGTGGATCCTACGCCGAGCTGGGAATTCATGGGAGATTTAATGGGATTTAATGGGAACTCAATGGCCAAAATGGGTCTATATAGGTCTATATTAATATCACCCCCCGTTCTATGGTCACAAATATGTGCAAATCCCCAGCTAAAGCATGGATTCTTGGGAGCGTTTGGATTATATAATAATCCCCAATTGGGATTTATAAGTGGCTTTACCTCGTAATGAGATTAAAACAAAACCATCCCTAGGCCCTAGTAATGAGATATCCCGGTATCCCCATTGTTACAACATTGGGTATACTATGGTATACTGGTACGCGGGTACATGCCCCTAGTATCCCCTAGTAGTTGGATCATTGGATGATTCAAAATGACTTAAATGGTTGGTCACTGGTTTCTGCCGCTGTACCACATTACCAGTCATCAGACACCATTATCATCGCATCTTGGCGTGGCATTCGCCGGCACCTTCTCCACGTATTGTGCCATGCAGTAGGACAGTTGTTGGTAGAAAGAGGCCAACGACTTCACCTGGAAACCATTCGGCATTGAAAAGTTGAAACCCTGGAAGCATTGCTTTTTTGCACTGAAAGATGTTGAAATCAAGTTCACTGGTGGGGAGATAGATATCGCCGATATCGCGTGACTTTGGTCCTAGCATGTCCTGCAGGGAGGGATGCATGGCACTGAATCCCACTTAGTGATGACCAAAAACTGGCATGGAGCAAGACTGACAAATGGCACATGGTCCTGGTGTCTAAATTCCGGGGGTTGAAAGCAAGGGACGACCAGAAATCAATTTCGATACCTCGCATCTTTCCCCAAACGGACCCAGGCACAAGCTAAACACCCTGCATGAAGATGGAACATTCAGTGGCATTCAGTGGCGTTGTTGCAAGGGTGGGACGTCTGTGGGATTGAAGCCAGGGGTATTGGGCGACTTCATCCGAAAATGGGAGTTCCAGCCTTGTGCAGTGGAATCAGTGCTTTGATCAAGAAGTCCTTGTGCTCTTCCTTCAAAGGAAGAGCAAAACCTGGCACGCATTCTGTCCTATTGGTCCTATTGCAAACGAGGCCGCAATGCTGACAGCGTGAGGGTAGTGGCAGTATGAAAGAAACTTACCCGCGGCCAAAGTCGTCAGAGCCGCCGTTGATGATGCTGCCCAAGATTTCCAGCAGCTCACCAACACCGTTGTGAGTCTCAGACTCATAGATGACCTGCCCCGAGGCAAAAGAATGGCATGCTATACTGAACGTTCTCCAGAAGAATATGCATACAGTATCCGGTTCTCGTGCAAGGCCTCAGGCCGAACGGTGCATCGGTGCATTGATATATTTTTCATTTTTTTCTTATAGACATGGTCTTTCGCAAAACCCGAGGAGCAATCAATAGATCTACGTAGTATATCGGAGATGTCTTCCCAGGGACTGATACCATGATCTTCTGTGACTAAAGGAGACCCAGATTATCCCAGATTTATAGCTCAATGCCTTGAAGAAGACGTGCTGAATAGCACGGCGGATGAAAGACCGGAGGGCCATGAATTTGCCTCGGCAGTGCGATGCTGAGAATGCCCGGAGGTGCCATGTGACCCGTTGCTGACATGGCTGGTGCAAAGTGGGGGTCCCAGTGGTAGGGGTATCAGTGGGGTATCTCAATCACACCTTTATGCATTTTATGGGCAAATGGATGCAAATGGTGCAAATGTTTTCCATTGCCACTTCGACCCCGACCGTAGATGCGATGCAGAATTGTCTTCAAGTAGTCCCGTTCGCGGGGATCCTGCGGCACAAATTGCGACCGGGCTTTGGGATTGATCAGAAAACGTCCAACTCTGGGCATGTTTGGACCAGTCTGCATTTAAGCTTGGAAGGCTTGGCTATGCTTGGCTTGATATTCAACTAGACATGTGCTCGGTGTACGGCACCTCAGAATCAAACAGCTCAAGCAGCTTGAGCATGAAGTTCTGGTCCACAAATCGTTTGGCCTTTGGTCAGCTTGAGCTCCCAATTCGAGCTGCAACACAAAAACGGGGCAGCACAACCCGTGTCGGATAGCTGATCAACAACCACAAGCGTGCAAAATTGCAGTGTCTGAGTCTCAAACGATCTTGGGGTCGACGTCATTTGAAACTACGAACCGCAGGAAGAACTCGTACACAATCTGCCTGGGGAGTGATTGAAGATTCTGGCGCGACTGTTTTTTTAATCGTGGGAAAGTTTAGTTCTGGTCCTTCAGTTTGGCACGCGCTGAATGCCTGCCAAAATCCTTGAAGCTGAGCACCAAACAAGTGCGGCCACGCGCGCTCTAGGGAAGGCTCATCCTTATTGATGAAGTGAACATGGACTGAACCTGCAAAAAATAGAACATGTTGCCTCACATGTGTGGTGGGAAAACATATCTGTTTACCACGTCACTCAAGAACTTGGTTCCGCACATCTTCGGGGTCTGAGAAGGCCAGGGGATCCTGTTGAGCAACTTCAATGCACGCCAGCACAGAACCACACAGAACCAGCAGAAGCACCAAAGCACCAGGTTGCTATTTGCCGCATTTTGCACAGCTTTCACTCAGTTTTTTTCACATAGTCCTTGTTTCTGGTCTGGAGGGCTCGGAAAATGTTCGCCCCCACCTCAAGGCATGGGCGGGATGGGCGGGGTAGCGACGGCGTTGAGATCATCGCTGTGCCTTTCTGCCCGTGCCTGTGACACACTGTGGCCCCGGGCCATGCTTACAACATCCTGCATCAAAGCTTCATTGAAGCAGTTCCGGGTGTTGTTGACATACCTGCCACGTATTGAGAGTCAGATTGAGCACAATTGAGCTTAGAAAACCAGCATCAACGCGTCCTGGCTTGATGCCCAACCCAATCAGGTCAAAACTTCACATGTCCACACGTCCACATGTTCATTTCATCTCACAAATTTTCACAAATACAAGAATATTCGTGATTAGTCGCGAGTGGTCAATCCAAAGGCTCTGAAAAATCGTCCAAGTAAAGCCAGTACATTTCCAGGAGATCAAGTGAATCTGCTCCAACTTTCGGTGGCGCACTCCACGATCTCCAAGAGGGTTTGGCGCTTGGCCTCCTTTTCCTGTCCAACGTCGTTCCAACGGTCTGCGTGAAGAGTCTTGAGTCTTGAGTCATGAACCCATCGGACACCCACGAACCATCTGACATTGCCCATAGACCTTGGTTTGCCCTTCTAACTCTTCGGAAACTTTTATTCACAATTTCCATCAATTTCCATGAATTCATCGTTCAAGTGCCAATGGCTTCAGTTCATGAAAACCTTTCAGAGGGAGTGGCACGATCCAAGCCCGTTGGGGCCTTCTGCATGTTGTCATTGTGGAAGTCAAAAACAACTGCGCAAACCTGCACCAAATCGGACACGTCCACCGATCTCAAAAAGAGTTTTAAGCTTAACACCAGTTGGGCAATGTTGGGCATGGTAATATAGGATAACCACATAGAAAATGATGAAAAACCTGTTGGAAAAGAATGGAAAAGATATCTGCAACATTCTGCAATGTTTTGTGTTGCCGAGCACCTCCATCTTTTTACGAAAGAGGTCTGTCCGCTCCTGTGGAGGTGCCTCGCATGCCGACCGGCTGATCCTTTTGAAAAGATCCCTGAGCTGAACCAGACAGCGTTTAAAGATAAAAGTTGTAATATTTTATCATATGTTATAATAACATAGAATAACTAAGATGATATTCTTGAGATCTGTTCCACACAGCAACCTGTTCCACACAGCTTCAACGCCAGAAGATACGGAGGTTCAAGGGACCTCTGGACATGTATAATGATGTATAATGACATTTATGTATATGTTGATCATGTACGCTTTGTCCAGACTCGATGTGTCCCTTCAGCCCCTTCTCTCTGATTCTCAGAACCTCCCGCAACTTGGGGATCGTAGCAAAGCTTGAGGACCTGAGGATATCATGACAAATTCTGACCGTGGCCAGTTATGGCCAGTTATGGCCAGTTATGGCCTAAGAAAGGAATATGAAGCAATCATAAGCAATCCACGTGGAGTTTTTAAGCTCATCTCAGACTCATCTCAGACCTCTTCTGAGACCTCTGAGACCCTGACTCCGTGGCCGGTTTCGTGGTCGCTGCTCGATTGCTGGACGAATTGGCTGGCGTCGTGGCCTGAAAAGAATACCACAAATGCCTCCCCTTTCTAATCTTTCGATTTGTTGGATTTTGTTAGAACATCTCCACACCAATGCAAAGTTGCATACAATGTCCATCAATTTCCTCATTCGCAGCAACGATCGCCATCATGGATAATGCAAAGGGAGAGGCAAATTTTGCAACGTCTCGCACCTTACTCTTCGCGGCAAGGTCGCCAGATCCTGAAGTACCTGTCAGCACACGATGCAATCGGTTCATCTGCCGACTGTTCGAGGTTGCTCATGCTTAAGTCTTGATGATTTAGGGCAAATCTCAAAGGTGGTTCAAACTTGATGCACGATGGTTCAGTGCAAAAGAAAGCTCAACAGGCTCAACTTCGGCTCAACACTTCGGAACAGCACGGTGTTTGCCGAGGTGCTACCGCCACTGCTGGTCGCCCCAGTGCGACTCGTGGATGTCTTTTTGTCGCCATCATTTCCTTAGAAGAAGCAGAACGCAAGCGACCTCCGCTGCTCCACTGTTTGCCGCTTAGAATACGAGATACTGAAGCACTTCAAATGACAATCCTGGTGAATCAGTCACTATTCTCATCCTCATCATCATCGTCATCATCATCATCATCATCATCCTCGTCGTCATCATCATCACCACCATCACTGTCAGCATCACCAGCACCATCATCATGCGCAGCACCACTGGCAGCACCAGCAGGGTTAGGCCACCAAGCCCATTCGGCGCTTCACCGTCTGGATCAGCTTCATGACTCAAACCTCGCAGCAGCAGGATTCAACCAGGGCTCTTTAGGCTGCTGAGGGACAAAACATGGTAAAACAACGTTATCACGTTGTTGTCAAAGTTCATGATATCAGTACTGGGCCTCCATTGAAACTGAGAATCCAAGGCTACACAGGAGAGACATGGAGAGACCAAACTAGCCGTCTGTAGACTGTGCAAGTCTGGACGAAGCTGGGGCCATAGCAGCGATGATCTGTCCTCTGTCTCGCTCTCTTTCCTTCACCTGACTCACCTTGGAGTTTTCGGTCACATCAAAATTCAAACTGTATCCGTATGTATTCCGTATGTATCTGTGTTGCATTTCTGCCTCTATTTTTCAGCTATACGACTGCCACTTACACGTTAGGACCGTAAAGGGATGCTTCAGCCATAAAGAATCTTTTGAAGATCTCGGGCATAGCAGTGACAGCAAAACAGTGGAGTCCACCACAGGAAACCAACTGGAGCCACTGGAGCCACTGAAGCCATGACTGAAGAACAGCTGCACTGTGCCGCGGCCCACTGCGTATTTGCTGCTCCCCATGGGTCTGAGCCAAGCCGCCCAGGCACCTTCAGTGAAGACCTTCACCCGAACAAAACGAGTCTACGTGCCATGAGTTATAAATGAATTCACATATGAATTATATAATTATATATGATTACTAGACGACGGATGGCCCGAGAGCGTAGAGGAGCAGAGTCTTCTTCTGCTGTTAGTATGGCGACACTATATTACAAGACAATATATTAAAGATGTATTACAGGCAGACGAGAAGAGTAGTATCAAGACAATATTATATGGCATCGTATCTTTTGCATCGTATCTTTCAAAAAGTTTTTCACGCACAGAACTTTTTACAGACAGACGTTTTTGCACACAGACGCTTTTACACACAGACGCTTTTACACACACACACAAACACTTTTACACACAGAGACTTTTACACATAGACGCTTTTACACACAGAAGCTTTTACACACAGACGTTTTTACACACAGACGCTTTTACACACAGAGGCTTTTACACACAGACGCTTTTCCACACAGAGACTTTTACACATAGACGCTTTTACACACAGAGGGTTTTACACACAGACGCTTTTACACACAGAGGGTTTTACACACAGACGCTTTTACACACAGACCCTTTTACACACAAACACTTTTACACACAGAGACTTTTACACACAGACGCTTTTACACACAGAAGCTTTTACACACAGACGCTTTTACACACAGACGCTTTTACACACAGACGCTTTTACACGCAAACACTTTTACACACAGAGACGTTTACACCCAGAAGCTTTTACACACAGACGCTTTTACACACAAACACTTTTGCACACAGAGACTTTTACACACAGACATAATACACAGACGCTTTTACACACAGACGCTTTTACACACAGAGACTTTTACACACAAACACTTTTACACACAGAAGCTTTTACACACAGACGCTATTACACACAGACGCTTTTACACACAAAAGTTTGCACACAAACAGTTTTACACACAAACACTTTTACACAGAGACGCTTTTACACACAGAAGCTTTTACACACAGACGCTATTACACACAGACGCTTTTACACACAGACGCTTTTACACACAGACGCTTTTACACACAGACGCTATTACACACATCGCAATTTTACTTCAGTTTTTGGCGATCCAACCTCATTTCGTGCGAAAGGGACGTGCGAAAGGGTCGCGCGGGACAAGTTGAAATGGCAATTTTACCTCAGTTTTTGCCGATTGAACCTCATTTCGTGCGAAAGGGTTCACCGGAAACACGAAATCGCAATTTTACCGCAGTTTTTGGCGATCGAACCTCATTTCGTGCGAAAGGGTTGCGCCGGACGAGTTGAAATCGCAATTTTACCTCAGTTTTTGGCGATCGAACCTCATTTCGTGCGAAAGGGTTGCGCCGGACAAGTTGAAATCGCAATTTTACCTCAGTTTTTGGCGATCGAACCTCATTTTCGTGCGAAAGGGTTGCGCCGGACAAGTTGAAATCGCAATTTTACCTCAGTTTTTGGCGATCGAACCTCATTTCGTGCGAAAGGGTTGCGCGGGACAAGTTGAAATCGCAATTTTACCTCAGTTTTTGACGATCGAACCTCATTTCGTGTGAAAGGGTTGCGCGGGACAAGTTGAAATCGCAATTTTACCCCTCAGTTTTTGGCGATCCAACCTCATTCCGTGCGAAAAGGTTGCGCGGGACAAGTTGAAATCGCAATTTTTACCTCAGTTTTTGGCGATCGAACCTCATTTCGTGCGAAAGGGTTGCGTTTCGTGCCGTCTCGTTGCCACTGCCCCTGCTCCCGCCTTCAAAGAAAGAAATAGAAAAGAAGGAGAGGGCAAGAGGGCAAGAGGGCAAGAGGAGAAGGTGTGAGAGGAGAAGATGTAAAGATGAGAAGATGTGAGAAGATGTGAGAAGATGTGAGAAATGTGAGAAGATGTAAAGATGAGAAGATGTGAGAAGATGTGAGAAGATGTGAGAAATGTGAGAAGATGTGAAGACGAGAAGATGAGGAGAAGATGGGAGGATGAGAAGATGTGAAGATGTGAAGATGAGAAGATGTGAAGATGAGAGGATGTGAAGATGAGAGGATGTGAAGATGAGAGGATGTGAAGATGAGAAGATGTGAAGATGTGAAGATGTGAAGATGAGAAGATGTGAAGATGAGAGGATGTGAAGATGAGAAGATGTTTTACAGACCCCCACTATTGGAAGAACCCTGCGCTCAGACGCTCTCGGGAATATATAAAATATCATATCTATATAGCCTATACATGATTGAAACAGATTGAAAATAAGTGCCACTATTGTGATCACACCTCATCACACGGAAGGTGTAATCAACCTATGGGAATACGTTCGCATGTAGACCATCCACGGGCCCCAGCGTGAAGACCGATCCTATGAACTGAACATACTCAGCGTAGCAAGATCTTACTCACTCAAGTCACCTTGCTTGCGTGCATCCCCGGCGTGAAGTGATGATGGCTTTCTGGTGCAGCTAACCAAAAGCTTTTGCCAAGTGATACGATGTTATAGGATGTTAAATGGATGTTATAGGAAGTACATGTCAAACCCAAGGATGGAAACTGAACGGAACTTATCTGAGCCTGCCTATTGATCCTCACTATTCATAGTCGATTTCAAGGGCCCTCAATGGCCAACATGTCGACTTGGAAGCACACCAGCTGCCAGGCACCAAACTGTCGGATATGTCTCGTGAGTCTAATGTAAAGTTGGCACAGGCAAGGCGCACAGCTGCAGATCTTTTGCGCACCCTACGTGGAAGATGCGAAACATAGAAAATGTTGTGAAAATATTGCAGGTACCTGGCAGGCCTAGCATGAACCTGAAGACACTTGCCACGTTTGCTTGGCTGCAGCTCCTGCTGCCAAAAAAGATCAAAAAAGTAGTCAAAGTAGTCAGTGTTCTTACAGGCTCCAGGATACTATACGCCCTGGCACTGCAGCACATTGATCACATTGTGCTGCGCGCATGGCTGGCTGCCAGTCCTAAGCTCTACGAGGCCTTGTGCCATCGAATAGCCTTGGGCATGGCCATTGCATCAACCTGGCCATTGGCATTGGCGCAAAATTTATCCTCAGTCGACTGTCCAGTCCTTCCCTGCCTCCGCCTCTAAAACTACCTCCACTCGATCTCCGGCCTCAAGACCATCCTGTCCGGCAGAAGCACAATCTCTTGAAAATTGTTTAAGAACATGATGGTGAATGGCCGTAGCTTTCTCCCTCACGATCTGTTTCAAGGAAACTCTTCAAATCAGTCAACGGCTATCTCGAGCTCCACCTTACCCCCAAACATGATCAAACATCAAGATACATCAAGCACCCAGTGGACGACATGGCGATGAAAACACCCAGTGCCTGGATGCGCCAATAGCTGCTTCCACCACGGCTGTCTGGGCCAAGCACTGCATGACCAGTCTTTCGGAAATCTGCCTGCGCTCCACAGCTCTGATTTTTCACAGCAACTTGGAACTGCGACTGTCAGCAAGTCCAATTTGAATCATTAAAAAAAAAGAACCTCTCTAACAAATATATACTAACAAGGCCACAAAACTTGGAAAAGAATGGAAAGGAGACCAGGTCACATTCGAATCCTCGTGGCTGTTGGGGTAGACTGCAGCAAGCCAGCAGCCATCCAGGAGAATCTGGAAAAACTCAATGCCGCTTGTTCCCACCTGCACTAGTCCAAAAGAATCCATCGCCGATTTTTTGTCGAAAGCTAAGCATTCCGAAAAGGCCAGAAAGCACGAAGCGCTACATAACTTAATCATATCAGCCTATCCAAGCATCGCAGTGCAAATATCGCATCAACACCAAACAGTGCGTTGCACAGAGACATGTCACGCGCATTGGACCTCGACTTCAGCCGTCCAGGATGATTTTGCCTCACTTCTCACCATTTCTGTAACCAGCAACCATAAGAACTGATGATAAATCATGATAAATCAAAATGGGAAATCCTTGGATCACTACTGATCACCACTCCAATATCTCCAACATCTGCCGTGGCCTCATCGAATCTCATGGGATCCCTGGAAACGAAGTTGCTCCAGGAGCCCACCTCGCTGTGGGGACAGCATTACTGCATGACATGCATGACAACCTGCTCACAACCTGCTCTCGATCTCAGTGTTTCAGCGTTTCTCATTGTTTTTTCAGGGCGGAGTTACACGTCTTAAGTCGTGGGATCTCAACAGAATCTTCTCTCGAGATGTCTAACCAGTGGAGACCAATGGTGAAGAAAGATAATTGCTTTCTTGAACAAAAAGTCAAACTAAGGGCATAAGGCACAAGGCCATGGCAATGCAGTAGCTCTTTGGCAGCGCCAGCTCCTCGCACTTTGCAAATGTTTGTTTCAGGTTGTTCCCGGTCCCTATATGTCACGAATTGTTGAAAGTTCAAGTTTTGATTTTAGCTGAAGCCAAATCTATACATCTCTGGCATGGCATCTTTTAAATCTTTGCAAGAGCTACCACTGGAAGCTGAACGTCTGTCCTGACTGGGACTGGAGGATTTTGGCTGAAGAGTCCAGCTGACAGACCTCAGAAGTGGGTCCCAGCACCCAGCGTGGCTGTACAGCGAGTGATGCCTGTGCATCTGGGCCCCAAATCAGCCCACGCCCTGCGAAAACTGGCATCCTGGCTTTTTATCTTCTCCGCTGGAGGGCAAACTCCGCTGGAAGTGGATCCTGAAGACGTCACCAGCCTCCAGGCATGACTTGCAAAACCGGTCTTTGGAAAGATCCTCTCTTGGTCAAACTGCACTGGCAACCCGTTGGACGAAACTGGAGCAAGCTCAACATGCACAGCCCAGCCTTGCCAGGTAGACACCAGCCTTTTGCCACGCCGTAGCCATCAGGACCTCTAAGGTTCTGGGTCTCGGCCTAAACAAGCACGCACAGACCACACTACTAGTACCATAGGAAAAGCATGCAAGAACGGAAATATGCGACTGATAGAAGGGGACTTTAGAATATTAGAATCTGTATTGCTTTGGTCAGTCAATGTGACTCTTCGCACATACGTATTCACATGCTTTGAGAATCCGTATCGGCAAGCGAATGGCGACATGTTCCCAAACGTCACACTTGCATTGCATTGCCTCGGGGTAGAAGGCCTGGTCCCAGTCCTTGTTCCTCACTACCTGTCAGATCTGTCACTGTCAGGAACTGTTTGTGGATCACACCAAGACTCACAGGTCGGACAGTCCCCACCTGGAACACATCATCACTACTCCGCAATTTCACCTCCGAGGTCAACAAGTCTCTGTTGCCAAGTTACATTTGGGTTACCATGACTGCCATGACTGCCATGACTGCCATGACTGCCATGACTTTGCCTCAGTGAAGAGACGTCGTGTTTTGCTGGCTGCGGCCTCCTCCTGCCAATTGGGACACCACGAAAACATTGGAAACCCAAACAGCATGAATGAATTCAATGATTGTGTAGCCATGGAACGGGCACCTCCTCCATGGGCTGGAAATCCCAGAAATTGAAGTCTCCAGCAACGTAGTACGACGACAGCGGCAAAGCCTGTGACAATAAACAAACAATAATAGCCAGAACTGGTGGGCCATGTTCCAGGGTCATACCAAACGTCCCATTGCAAACTGGTCCGCAAGATGCTCAAGTCTCCAATTTCCAGCGACTAGAGAAACAAACGGCCTGCGGCACTGCAGAAGGCAACTTCTGCCATTCCACACATCGATATTTGCCTAAGTCACAGAAAGAAAATTCAAGAGAACTCAAATTTCAAGTTCTTGAGTTCTTGAATCATCAAGAACCAGTGAAAGCAGCGGTCACGTCGCAACCCACAGCGGCGGTTAGTTTGCTGACCATGTAATGATCAGCGGGATGCTACCAGGGGGCCGCCCAGGCGGAGCCAAACGCGATATCCTGGCTGGGGTAGTCTGGAAGAACTGTTGCTAGGGAGAAACCTGTCACATGATAGAATGGTCTACAATATAAAGATTTAATGTGTATGTGTGTATGTGTGTATGCATGTATGTATGTATGTATGTATGTATGTATGTATGTATGTGCGTATGTGCGTATGTGCGTATGTGCGTATGTGCGTATGTGCGTATGTGCGTATGTGCGTTTGTGCGTATGTGCGTATGTGCGTATGTGCGTATGTGCGTATGTGCGTATGTGCGTATGTGCGTATGTGTGTATGTGCGTATGTGCGTATGTGTGTATGTGTCCATGTGTGTGTACGTGTGTCTGTGTGTGCCTTTGTGTGTCTGTGTGTCTGTGTGTCTGTCTGTCTGTATGCGTGTATGTCTGCATGTCTGCATGTCTGCATGTCTGCATGTCTGCATGTCTGTATGTAATGTATGTCTGTCTGTCTGTCTGTCTGTCTGTATGCATGTATGTATGTATGTGCGTATGTGCGTATGTGCGTATGTACGTATGCACGTATGCACGTATGTATGTATGTATGTATGTATCTATGTATCTATGTGTCTATGTATCTATCTATCTATCTATCTATCTATCTGTCTATGTATGTATGTATGTATGTATGTGTGTATGTATGTATGTATGTATGTATGTATGTATGTATGTATGTATGTATGTATGTATGTATGTATGTATGTATGTATGTATGTATGTAGTATGTATGTGTGTATGTATGTATGTATGTATGTATGTATGTATGTATGTATGTATGTATGTATGTATGTATGTATGTATGTATGTATGTATGTATGTAATGTATGTAATGTATGTAATGTATGTAATGCATGTAATGTATGTAATGTATGTAATGTATGTAATGTATGTAATGTATGTAGTGTATGTAATGTATGTAGTGTATGTAATGTATGTAATGTATGTAATGTATGTAATGTATCTAATGTATGTAATGTATGTAATGTATGTAATGTATGTAATGTATGTAATGTATGCAATGTATGTAATATATGCAATGTATGTAATGTATGTAATGTATGTAATGTATGTAATGTATGTAATGTACGCAATGTACGCAATGTATGTAATGTATGTAATGTATGTAATGTATGTAATGTATGTAATGTATGTAATGTATGCAATGTATGTAATGTATGTAATATATGTAATGTATGTAATGTATGTAATGTATGTAATGTATGTACTGTATGTAATGTACGTAATGTATGTATGTATGTAATGCATGTAATGTATGTAATGTAGGTAATGAATGTAATGTTGTCATGCATGTCATGCATGGCATGTATGTTATGTATGTTATGTATGTTATGTATGGTATATATGTTATGTATGCTATGTATGTTATGTATGCTATGTTTGTTATGTATGTATGTCTGTGTGTGTATGTGTGTATGTGTCTGGGTAAATTATAATATTTCACTAAGCTGAATTAAGAATGAACTAAGGCCATTTGGGGATGATTTCGGTTGCGGAATGATTCTGAAACCAAGGATGATTCTGCAACCAAAACCGGGTGATTCTGAAACCAAAACCGATGATTCTGCAACCAAGAATGATTCTGAAACCAAAAAAAATGATTCCGAAACCAAGGATGATTCCGAAACCAAGGACACCTGGAAACCAAAAATGGCACGGCTCAGCAATCAAGCGGTGTGCATTTCTTTTCTTTTCGAAGCATCAAGGCGGAAGTTGCACAATAGGAAACCTATAGGACAGGTTGGTTGTTGAGAATCATGGATGGCAGAGCGAACACACTGATGGATCCACAGGCGGGCTATCTATCTGTCCATCTACCTATCTATCTATCTATCTATCTACCTAGCTATCTAGCTCTCTAGCCATCTAGCAATCTATCTATCTCTCTATCAATCTATCTGTCCATCTATCTATCTAGCTATCTATATCTCTAGCTCTCTAGCTCTCTAGCTCTCTAGCTCTCTAGCTATCTAGCTATCTGGCTATCTGTCTATCTATCTATCTATCTATCTAGCTATCTATCTATCTAGCTATCTATCTATCTTTCTAATTAGTTAAGTTAGTTAAGTTAGTTACGTTAATCAAGTTAGTTAAGTTAGTTACGTTAGTTAAGTTAGTTAAGTTAGTTAAGTGGTTTACGTGAATTAAGTTTTTTAAGATAGTTAGTTAAGTTACCTCAGTTACTTAGTTAGTTTGTTAAGTTAGTTAAGTTAGTTAAGGTAGTTATGTTAGTTAAGATAGTTAGGTTAGTTAAGTTAGTCAAGTTAGTCAAGTTAGCTAATTTAGTTATTTAAGTTAGTTAGTTATGTGACAGAAGTTTCGAAAGAGGGAAGAACCTATACAGATCTATAAAGACAAGGGTGAGCCTGCCCCTGACCACCTGCCTAGAACAGCTGTGGACGGCGTGATCTCTTGAGAGCCTGTCTCCATGCACTGGAACATTATTGTCTCCTCATCTGGAAACGATGCCATGTTGAGTGTGACAGCACGTATGTCGAGGAGGGAACGCAGCTGCAAGCACGTTTTTGTCCCACCCCACCCCACCCCACCTAACCCCACCCCCCCGCATCTGGAGACGATGCCATGTTGAGTGTGGCCGCAAGTGTGTCAAAGGAAGGAACGCACCTCCAGGACGTTATTGTCCCACCCCACCCGCATCTGGAGACGATGCCATGTTGAGTGTGGCAGCACGTATGTCGACGAGGGAACGCAGCTGCAAGGACATTATTGTCTCACCCACCCCACCCCACCCCACCCCACCCCACCCAACCCCTCCGCATCTGGAGAGGATCCATGTTGAGTGTGGCCGCAAGTGACGCGGATTTTGGTTTCTGAATCGCGTGGATGGTGGTTGCGGAATCGTCCTTTTTTGGTTGCGGAATCGGGTTTTTGGTTTCGGAATCGTCTTTTTTTGGTTGCGGAATCGTCTTTTTGTGGTTGCGGAATCGTCTTTTTTTGGTTGCGGAAGCGGCTTTTTTTGGGTTGCGGAAGCGTATATGTTTTTGGTTGCGGAATCGCCGAAATTTGGTTGCGGAAGCGTCGAAATATGGTTTCGGAATCGGAATTTATTCGATGATTTCCCTTATTAACCATGATTCCAGTGAGGTCGCAGTGAGGTCGTTATAATTTACCCAGATACGTGTATGTATGTATGTATGTATGTATGTCTGTGTGTCTGTATGTCTGTATGTCTGTATGCATGCATGTATGTATGTCTGTGTGTATGTATGTCTGTATGTATGTCTGTCTGTCTGTCTGTCTGTATGTATGTATGTATGTGTGTGTGTGTATGTATGTATGGTATGGTATGGTATGGTATGGTAATGTAATGTAATATAATGTAATGTTACGTTACGTTACGTTACGTTACGTTAGTATGTATGTATGTATGTATGTATGTATGTATGTATGTATGTATGTATGTATGTATGTATGTATGTATGTATGTATGTTAAGTCATGTCATGCTATGTTATGTTGTATGGTATGTTATGTTATATTATGTGTTATGTTATGTTATTTTATAATATGTTATGGTATCTTATGTTATGTCTTGTATGTATGTATGTAATGCATTTATGTTATGTATTTATGTAATGTATTAATGTAATGCAATGTACTGTACTGTAATGTAATGTAATGTATGGTATGGGGTGATATGGTACATAACATGCCATAACTTAACATAACCATAATATATTATATAAACAAAATGTAATATAATAAAACATAATATAAATATAATATAGTACAATATCATTTAATTATAATATAGCACAATATCATTTAATATAATATGATATTGCTTTATATCATATGTATATATATATATATATATGAGGATACATATAGAGAGAGAGAGATAGATCTGTATATATATATATATGCATACATATTATATTTAAAATAGTATGTTATGTTCTATTATATTCTATATTAACATATTATATTATATATTATATATTATTTTATGTTATATTATATATATATATGTTTTTGTATAATAATGTATACATGGATATATGAAAGCTGGAATGAAACCATGAAACCGATATATGGAACCATGAAAGCTGGCACCAAGTGTATATGTGATCCGCATGAATGCGCAGGATGTAGCAAAATGATACAAAATGTGCCAGGTTGGCGATCCCCTGGCATGCCCAGTAGCTGGGAATCTTGGTCCACAACCTGGGGGCTCGACACTTCCACTCCAGCGTCACACATCTATTAATTTCTCAAGACATCTCAAGAAATTGTCCGGAAAGATCTGGGAACTCTGAAAGTCTTGAACTGCGAGTTGGCTAAAAAAAACGTAGCCTGAGGCTGGAATGATTCTAGATACTTCGGTATAGACGGAATATCTCCAAAGAACACTACACACCTCAGAGAGGATGTGGTTTCAATCAAAATAACTCCCGCCACACTAAGCACTGTACTGGATACTCTTCACCGTCAGGTGTGTAGTCGCCTCTGCCCAGCTGAGGCTTAGGATGCAACAGTTTTCATCAGACAACAATCGGCTGATGATATGATAGAAAAATTGTCCAGCATCATCATGGCATCATCCTTTACTTTACTCTTAAACCTCCTTTTGCCATCCCTTGAGAATGCCTGGAAAGGCCGTGAGAACGCGGAGTTCGATGTCACCCGAGTAGGAAAGCAACTCCTGCAGCCGAACAGCTAAGCAGCTATGCTCCGAGCACTGAAACTGGCACTGGAAAACTTCAATGTAAAACAGTGACGACTGAAAAGACATGACATATTGTATCATCCTGTAATATCGAGGGCATTGAAATGCTTTGAAGCTGCAACAAAGTTCTGCGAAGAATCTATGTCAAAACTTCAAGAGTCCTCTGCGCAGGGGCAAATGTCTAGGTCTCGTGCTTGTTCTTCATTGAGAAGACGCAACTGTCCAGCGCTCATGCCATTTCATTTCGCAGGAAAACACCAGGAGAAGGTAATCCTATGGCCTATGGTTGATCTGGAGCCAGTCTTTTCATGTTTTGTCGATGCCCAAGGCAAGCAAGCGCAGCAGGATAGTTGCACTCATTCTACTCAAGAATCTATAGTTTCTGCCTGAAATTGGACGTTCTCAGCACCAAAACGTGTTGACAGACTAGGGCGAAATGCCAATGTTTAAAGGCTTTGTGAGCACACAAGGTGTTTTCCCATTGACCACCACCTTGGTGGGCTTCCCAGAAATCCGCCAAGTGGAGAAGCGGCCGCACACTCCCTGCGCCACAAGTTTGGCAGAGGCAATGGACTACACATTCAAACCTTCTCCATACTGGGCCAACATGTCTTGATCTTTGGATATCTCTGGGACATTCTCGGACAGGGCTTTGGTTCATTTGCTCAACAAGATGTCGAAAGATGATCTGTTTGTTTGTCAAAAGTCTTCCCATTACGAGCTCCACGCAATGTTTACAGCACTTCTCCCGCCCCGACTCCCCAACTCCCCGACGCCCCGAGCACCTGTCGCGACGGCCCAAGGACTTGCTGATCCCGATCAGCCCAGTGACTTCCAGGGTGAAGCACCTCCAGGTTTCCCCTGCGAAGAGATCCCCCTCAAGTGGTGTTTTCCTGTAGACATGAGATGACATCAGCTATGCCAGCCAAAGCCACATTTGGTATGACCCCTTGAACTGGGACACCACCTTGTCAGGATCACCATTCTCCCAAATCTGGAAGGTTTCCCATCGATTTTCGCCTCAGCAATCAAGCTGCAAAAGACCTTCCCAATAAAAGTGCCCAGAAAAAATGTAAACTAGACGGCCGGTCAGTTTGTTCCAAGAGGCCCAAGACCATGGTAAAGGCGTAAACGCCCTTTGATTCCACCTAGAGCCACGTTGAAACTCGTCTTCAAAGACAGTGTTCCACAAAACAAGAAGCTGCCACAGGTGAAATATGTGAAATGCTGGGCCAAGATTGATTAGATTGATTCGTGTACCGCCTCCATCTTCACCGGCTCCTCCCATGAGTTGAAGCTACCGATGATGAAGTAGCTGGTCTGCCAGGGCTGCATCTCGACGTATCACCAATATGTCACCTATGTCATCCATGTCACACGGCCTCCTTGCTCTCGGCGGCGCTGGAGGGAAACCAGTAGAGCTCCTTGCCTGGCACAGCGGGTGTTTTGTATTAGGTTACATGATAATACATGCGTCGTTCACAGCAACATTTTTGGTATTGTAAGTCTACTAACGTCAGATCATTCCGTTCTAATTCATAAATTTATGCTTATATTCATGAGTGGAGCGAAACCAGGCTGTTGACTGACCATTTTCCTGGATTCGCGTTCCAAGTCCGCAAAAAATGCAAAAAACGACAGTGCTGAATCGGTTCTTGCCCAACGTTCAGGTTGGGATGTGCCAAACAAGGCACTCTGACATGATATTCCTCAGAGTTATCACGAAAGATACGTGGAGGACCAGAGGCCAGGATTTCACAACATCAGCAAACTGCCTCTGTCCACCGACAGAGTGAGCTCGTGTCTTCTCAGGATTGGAAAATAGGCAAGACGCGGAGGTCGGGACAGCGTGGATCCGAAGCGCCGTCGATGGATTGGATTCAGCGCAGTCTCCTTTCAAAGCAGCCTCTATACGCTATACAGGCTTTACAAATCTATAAGATCTACAAGTTACATCAAGTTACATCAAGTTACATGAGATGCTGCTCCTTTACCAAGCCAGGTGATGCAGCCTCCAGGACACTCAAACAGTCGATGATTTCACCAGCAAAATGTCTGCGGATGACATGCTTGTACGGAGGGAGGTTTGTACATTCCAAAATGATGGCCTTGACAGGAAAGCGTCGCAGGGCTGCTGTGATGAGCTGATCCATCCCCAGCTCAGCTTTGTGAAAGTCCAAGTCAACGAGGTCTTGTGAAATGACTTCGTAGAGATGCATCCACTTTTCCAGCCCTATCACGGGCCCTGCAAAACCATCCAAGGCTGGTTGATATGCAGGCGAAGCCAACACATCAGCGTCGAAGGTGATGACCATGATTTCAGGGTCAGGAAAACGCGAACGCAACTCGGGCAAAGCAATCAGAGAGGAGCTGATGAAGGTCTTGTCAGTCATCTTGGAGAAAGACTCTTGAAAATAGATCATAAAACCACAAGAAGTGCTGATGATTTGATCCTTTGAAGTGATATCTGCTCCGATATTTTCCAGACTTGCAAGTGCTGATGTAAACCCAGTGATGTCCAACCCATTTGGATCTGCGTTCACCACGCTGGCAACTTGAGCTCTGTCAATAATCTGGACTCCAACAGGTCGGTGATAAGTGTCCCTGCAGGCAATATCTCCAGGAATTCGAGGGAAGTGAGTATCAAGCTGCAAAATCACCAGAGATGCCATTGCGATCCATTGCGGGATTTCCGAACACAAATCGCAAGTTGCACAAAAAGACTCAAAATAACCTGGAATAACCACAACTTACACCTGCATGAGCACCCTTGTGGCGCACGTACATCCAATCTTGTAACATCTCTCTGTGCAGAGGGAAGTCTGACAGTGTCAGGCCAACAGCTGCAACACGAGCATCACTATTCAAGTGTTTGGACAGATATTAGGAGGGATGCTGTCAGAGGAAACTGCAACTGGACACCTGTAACTGGACAGCTTTAAAGCTTGGGGAACATACTACGTTGATAGAATGGTGGGGAAACTTGAACAATTTAACCGCGATTACACATGAGTCACGTTATCAATGACCTTGAGCCATGCCCAAGTTGTTTTCGGCATGCGGCTGATACGGCGCCCTTGGAAGGGTTGCCAATTTTGAGATGTGCCATTTACGATCCCTTGGAAGGGTTGCAAATTTCAAAAATGAGGCTTGCTGAAATGGGGGTATAGGATTTGATTTTTTTGAGTTTTTATCATGTTGCACATGCTGTGGTATGATCATCAGGGGGGGTGGGGGTGGGGGGTGGGAGGGGTGTATTAACGTTCTTGACGAGCACTTCCTTTACGTTACGGAAGATGCACACGTTGCGCATGCTGTCGTATGATCATCAGGGGGGGTGGGGGTGGGGGGTGGGGGGGTGTATTAACGTCCCTGACGAGCACTTCCTTTACGTTACGGAAGATGCAAACGTTGCACATGCTGTCAGTTGTGTCAAAGATTAACCCCACAAAAGGTTCAAGTTGGCCCAAGTCAACCACAAACAAAATATATGTACTAAGACTAAGACTTGTCATTTTCGAGGTCGTTTGTGGGATAAATCCTATAGAGCCATTGTTGCTGGTACTCAACAAATGGATTGAACATGGAAACACTTGAAAAAATGGCGACCTCCGTCGATACTCCACAAAAAAACAAAACGTGTACCAAAAAAAGGTACACTTGGGCCTACAGCTGGACATGGCGTCACAACGCTGCCTTGTTGCAGACTGTGGCTTCTGTGTTGCCACAAGCGCTCTGGCACCGCTAGCGTCGAGAAGAGGAAAAAACTGGAAGAGTGAATGTCGCCCTGATATGATTCGGATGATTGAAAATCATAAATGTCTGATGTTTTTGTTTTGACCCTTGAAGAGCAAAATCGAGTCACCGCGCAGGCGAAACGCACATTTTCACTCTTGAGTCACACGCCTGCCAATCGAAATGAATGTCCATGTTGCAAACATTTTTTGACGACTCCTGCAAATACCAGCATTTTGTCTCTTAGCCTCAAAAATCAGAATTTCAAATTCGTCACCCTTACAAGGGCGCCGAGTCAACCGGTTGCCTTGTTTTCCCTTTAAGTTCGACCGATTCGGTGGAACTGCTATACCATGGCTAAACAGACTCTGCTGCTATTTTCTTCGCTGGGCTAGAAAGGCCCACTGCAGGGACAAGTCTAAGCAGGCCCGGGCTTGTCTTTCACTGCCGGGTAGTACGTTGTCAGTTGTAAAAAAAAAGGTGCTGCCGAGCCAACCCAAGTTGGGGTACTGGAAATGACTTAATTCATTGCTCATCCCGAGATCCCAGAGATTGGCTTAGTCCCTGCGGAATACGTGAGAAACTGTGGATATACACACTGTACAAGCTATTCGATGGCAAGCGTACCCGGAGAGGTGTGGATTAGTGCCCAGAGTCTCTAAGAGATCTAAGAGGCTCGAGAGGTTACCAAACACAAAATTGGCGTCTGGTACGGAGATTAGTGCCTTCAAGGATCGACATGAAAGCACGCGGCGCTTCAAGAATGCAAAGCAACCACAGCAACCACCCAGGCCTGTTTGCCAATTGTCCTATCCAAAGGAAGCAGTCGGCATTGCACAAGGCTATGACGAAGGTAGACAAAAACATACGCGGAGGGAGCTTGGCCAGAGGCATCCCTTTTGTTCTAGAATCATGACTTTGGAGAATCACAGCTACTTGGCCTTTAGTTTTGGCGCAGATACCTTTCCCGCTAGACAAAGCTGACATTTCGTGACATTCGGGATGTCTTTGCGCTCATTTCTCTCTGTCCTGAGGTTGAGGGCCACTGCCCATCAGAACCAGTTGCACATTGGTGCCGCTGTTGCCAAACCTCAGCACATGGTGAACCAAGGAACGAGTTCACCGCACCTGCGGTAACACGGGCAATCTACCCAATGTAATGGCGAAACTCCATCTCCAGAATTTAACAAGCAATCGGGTTTGTTTGAAAATAGGGTACCCCAAAATTTGATGGGTTTATCATCATTTTCCCTGTTCAAAACAACCATGTTGGATAATTTGGGGGTATAGAAACACATCCAATCACTTCCAAGACAAGGCACGAAGAAATGCCCAGAGTTTGCTGCATAGACGCAGATGGCACAACCTCTCTTCATTGCTGACTAAACAATAGGTCCAGTCAATGCCCTTACAATTTATGCACTGATGCCATCCACGAAGCAACACCACAATGATCTACAATGTACTGATATCATCAACGAGAATGAGAAGAGAAAAGTATCTCGGTACAAGAGTCAAGAGTGTAGAAAATGGGTGAAGCCTTAAAGCTGCAAACTCTAGATTTTTTGCCCGAACATCTGTTGCCAAACAGGCTATGTACAGCGGAGCATTTGCTGAATCCTGCTGAAGACCACTGCTCCATTCGAACAGCTTGAGAAGTGCATTGAGCTTCCTGTCCCCATCCAAGGCATAGCACGCCAGTTTCAGCGCGCAAGTGAGACCTTCATTTCAAAGAAGTATATACAGCATAGAACCATGGGCAATTCAGAAAATGTCTGCAAGCCGAAGACTTCACAGGAATTGCATCCAGCCAGGTGACTGCCTCACTTCAACTTGAACCTGAGCCATCCCCGCATACTTCCCCGCCGTAATTGTCCAAGGATGGAAAAGATATGAAAAGATCAAGGTGCATTCGCAATTGGAACAACATGATGCATCTCATTACCAAGGTCATCATGATTGTCGTCGTCATGAAAAACCCACCAATTAACGCCAACAGCCCAGTGTGGAGTTGCTACCAGACGGCACGGTCCTTCTGTAGGAAACTAAGGTCAGAACGCATCCCGGGTGTCTGCCTCGATTTCTTCAGCTTCCTCTTCTGAATTATCGTCCTTGACCTCGAGCAACAAATGAGGCACCCTGCCCTGCAGAGTCATGTCTCTGACCCGGCCAATTCAAAAATAAATTCCAAAAATATGTAAACTGCAAGGGGACAAACCATATATCACCCTGCTCCTTATGGTCCTTATGGGTCCTTATGGGTCCTTATGCAAAGGTTCTACGCCGCTGTGTGACATGGGCCCCACCTCCTTGACTGTTAGCAAGGCGATACCTCCAGCCCGAACCTGGCAGTCCGCAAGGCTTTCATCTGCAATTCATAGCCATGGGAAATGAGCTTTGTAGATGATTTACCTATTGAACATGGCCATTGTCAATGGCTATGTTAGATTACCAAAGGCTATAATTAATATCAATATTATTATTCTGTTTGTGTTTGCACTTCTTTATGATCAACCACACCAAATTATGCCCGAGTCGAGGCTTCTTTGTGTCCCCGACTCCCCACTACTACTTGTCTTGCCAAGGGACGTCGCCACCAACCGCTTGCAAGGCGAAATCCGAGTCTACTTCGTCGGCGATTTCCCAGAGTTGCATCTCCTCAGCTTCTCGTAAGAATCTGACGGAATTATTAACAGTGTGAATTGTGAATCACGTTCGGACATTTTGTCAAGTCATGTCACATCATGTGCATGCTTGAAAATCCAGATACTCACCATATCAGCATCAAGTGTTGTAGCTGAACCTGGTCGCTCCAGCTTATCCCCAGGTCTGCTCCAAGGGGCTCCATCCCAGGCACTGGAGAGTGCCACACCCAGATCCCAATCGACACAGAGATTCCGGAGGCCGGTGAGGTGACCGCTGATCACCCTGAGGTGACAAACTGATCAAACTGTGGCGCAACTGGAGTCAGAAATAGTCAGAATCAGAATGAGTGCTGCCAGTGCTGCCTGATGCATTCAGATCTTTGGATGTTCCAAAGTCGTGCAGATTTGTCCTGGGAACCTCAGATTTTGGCGGGACCGTCCGAGGCGTCAACTGAGCTCGACAAAATACCGCATTGAATCTGACGAAGCAAGCACGTACTGATTCACATTCAAAGGGTACAAAAATATACAAAAATCAATCACACACAAAGTTTCATTGCAATCCAACTGGTTTCAACATGTTTCAACGCGGTACGTCAAGCCATGGCACCAGAAATGGCTCTTTTCAACTTCCATTGCACAGAGAGAGCCGTGATGGTGTCCTTGTGACCTGAACTTTCAGGGATGTCGAACGAAAACACTCGTGGAGTTCGATAGATTCAGCTGATTCAGCCGATTAAGCATCATTTGAGCCAGCAAACGGAGTTGGCAGATGTGATCTGGAATATTTTTTCGGCAGAAGAAAATTGAAGAAACCTATGTTTAAAAATTTAAAATGTTCACCTGCACACCAAACACACCAAGCCCCAGCTGAGACAGGGAACCTTTCAAGGAACTCTGAGATGCTGCCATTGGAAGACCCCAAATCCTCGGCGAAACATCCACTGTGCTCACTGTGCTCACTGTGCTCAACCGTCGGGTCGGACCGGGTCGGACCGGGTCGGACCGGGTCGGACCGGGTCGGACCGTGGCGGTGCTGCCCAGACTCTGTAAGACACCGTTGTCGAAGCCCACCAGGGCACGAGCTTTGGGCCAACAAACTTCGATTACCGTGACCAAATAGTGCCTTGGTCGTTGAGAGAAGCCAAGGGTGACCGCCACCTTGAGATGCTGACAAAAGTGTCTGAGAATCAACATCAATCGTGAACGTCTCCAGAGCCATGAAAGAATGAAAGTAGGCTATTCAATGAGAATGCGACAATCTGCAGATCGATATAGGGTTCTCAACTGCCAAGTTGCTTAATTGGATAGGCCTTCAGTCTGCTGCCATCTTTCAAGCTCAACAAATCCATATCGTTGTCCTTGGACATGAAAATCAAGGAAGTAGAGTCCAAAATAAATTCAAGAAGCATCAAAAAGCACAATCTTCAGACCTCTGGTCGATTCTCAGTCTGTTGCCTTAACACAATATGTGATGGACTTTTTTCCCGTAGATGTCACCAAGGATCCCCATGGCCTACCAGCATCCTCATCTTGGTCCAATCTGTGCAGATTGAAAATATCATTCCGACCTTGCCTCAGCTGAACCAAAACCACCGTAACAAACATCCATCAACACTTCCGCAAACCTTCCACGGATGAAAACGTAGCTTCCGCGAGCTCATGTATTTATACCTTGTACGCGTTGGGTGTTCTGGATGATTTGCTTCCACGACCTAGGTTTGGAGGACATGCTTCTATCTCGTACTCTGAGTCAACATCTCCCTATGACATGCTGCAAGCTTTAACAAGGGGATGTCGTTTGTGAAAGGTTGCATAGGTCACCAAATGTCTTTATGCCATCTAAGACCCTCTGCGCAATGTATTCACAACATGTAGGGATGCAAACCAAGACACCTTTCGAACACCTGCTTAAAGCTTTGAGCAAAAAAGGCCAAGGATGGCCAAGGTACGCGTTTTATTTGTTTATCTTCTGCGAGGCTTCCGCGCAGTTTCCGCAAAAACGCCAATAGTTTGGGTTTGGCACATTCAACAAAACAATGGATTTGGAGCGCTATCGAATTGGAATGGATGCTGGTTGCATCCTTTCTGCAGTTGAGAGGCAAGAGAGAACCCTCTCTGCTTCATGAGTCGTCAAATTCCAAACGACGAAGTAGCCTCAGCTACTTGGCAGGAACTCCCATGAGTAAGAACAACTTCGCCTCAAGGTGTAAATGTGCTGTCCATCTGAAAGCAGTTGAATGCCCAGCAGCCGTCATCATTCCCAGTGATGGCCAACCTCTTCTCGTTCCATTCGACTCTCAGGCTCCGAATGCAACAATTCAGAAAGTCCTGCTCCAAATCCAACTGCCACTTGCAAAAAGAAAAAGAGGTAGAACCATGTAGAACCATGTAGAACCATGTAGAACCATGTAGAACCATGTAGAACCATGTAGAACCATGTAGAACCATGTAGAACCATGTAGAACCATGTAGAACCATGTAGAACCATGTAGAACCATGTAGAACCATGTAGGACCATGTAGGACCATGTAGAACCATGCAGAACCATGTAGAACCATGTAGAATGCAAACCCTCAAACAGACCCAATCAGATGATTATCTCAATATTATCTCAATATCAAATGAATCAATTTTTGTCAAACGGTTGCCGAACCTGGTTCCAAATGGTTGCCACAGTTGCCAAATCCCCCAGTCGTCCTCTGGCGGAGTGAGCTCCACACCGCTGCCATCCTCCAAATTCCAATGGAACACAGTGCCATCCTGACCAGTTCATCCGAACATCATCCAAAGATCTCAAACAGCAAATTCATGCAAATTCAATAAATGTTCAGAAAAGGAAACCATGTCTTCTTTAGAAGCAAATTTTGCCAGAAGCAGCTAAGCAACGTTGTTAAGAGATGTTAAGAGATGTTTTTCTTCTGGGAACTCCAATGAACCAAACCTCAAAACGACATGACATGCCCATTCAAGACTCCAAGACCAGCGTGCTAACCAAGTTTCTGCTGCTGCACTTACTACTTCCTTTGGCCAGTGCAAATCGAGGCAAGTGACATAGTCCTGCGTGAAGAAATGCTATGCATCTGATATGAAGCTGATACTGACAGTATGCAGTGCAACAAGATACACCATGATTGGACCATGGCAACACATCCATGACATCGCCTGGCACGGCTCTCCTTGTGTCCATCGAAAAGTTTCAGCTCATGGCCCGTTGCAACGTCCACCAATCTTGGCTGCTCGGCTGCATGGCGCAAACCCCTCGCTTCTTTGAGATAAGAAGGGAATGCGACAATCTTGATAGCAATTGTTGATGACTTCCCCGAATGCAAGCATTCTATTTTGGGCTGTAACTTGGTTCGATCAACGAACCAATCTTTCCATTCTAAGCTTTCTAAACCACAAATGTCCAATGCAGAATACACTGGATGCTTGCTCCAACCACAGTGATGCAGAGTAGGCCCAACTAAATCGAATCTCCACAGGATTCCAAATTCCCGATCCTTCCACGTTGGTTCCACCATCCAAGTTGCTGGATGCGACCATCGTCGTGACCCACCAGAGCGCAGGCTTGGCTTTCATCGGCCTCCTGTGTTGTGTTTATTGCGTTTACCCGAAGATCAGCAACCCCTAGCAGTAATCAATCCAGTCCATGTTCCTACCTGGTCCTACCTTTAGAGACCTCAAGCTCTCGGGGATAAAGGAGGCCAGGCTGAATCACTTCAATGCGGCACCTCAGTCTCGTCGCTGGTTGTTCTATGGAAGCCTTGCGCACAGAAAAGAGATTCCATGAAATCATCGCAGTCAGGCAAATCAAACAGCTAGGGCCGCTAGGGATCTGAGGGACCTGTTGAATTAATTCAATCACACGCATCTGGTTCTGTCACTTATCCTGGTATCCTCATTTTCAAGGATGCTGTGCTGTGGATCTCCCGCCTTCAGACCGCTGTGCAGCGATTTGTTCCTTGGAGAGGATCATGGTAATTCATGTTAGGGCCAAGGCGGCAGTCTTCATAATGAGATATCATGAGAGACATGAGGCGGCCCGTGTCAGGAGTCCAGTATGTTCAAGTCTTTCAAGAGTTGGATAGTTTCAATTGGGGGCAAAAAGTTGATAAGTCTCATAATTAACATATTAAAACATATTAAAACATGAAAGAAAACTAAAATAGCCTCCAAACGCATCCGGAGCAGGTCCAAGCGTCAAGTGCTTGGCTGTTCCGTCTTTGCATCCCGGCCAGATGTCACCACAACCGCTGCCCATCACGGCATCACCAGCGGCAAAGCATGTCATGAAGGTTGGGAAAACTTTTGAAATTCAACGCATCATCTTCTGAGTTTTTTCCAACGACCACAACCAAAAGGACTGGTTTGTCTCTGGCGTTCTCCTTATCTGAAGCTTGCACACATGGCTTGGCTAAAGTACATGATGTCTCAAGATCGCCTGTGGCCTCAAAACCGTCGAAACTGATACTCTGGCAGTATGTAGCTGACAAGGCCTGTGCTAACCTTGCAAGAGTAGGTAAACTTGCATTGATATCATTGATGCTCTTGTGGTGAGAAAGCATGCAACAAGTCTCTTCACTCTGCTTTCTTACTGTAGGCTTGACCTGCAGCCTGCAGAAAGATAGAGCTGGAGAGGATGGGAGAGGGTGATGGGAGATGATGGATAGAATAACATGACATGATAGATTTAGTCTGGGAGTCACAGTCCAGGAGGTTACGTCTGTGTAGAATCTGGACCTGGAACCCATGTCAGATGGTTCCAAACTTTAAAGGCATAACAGCATAACATCTAAACACATCCAAACACATGCAGACACATATAGACACATATTATGGACACCATCATATCCCTTTGGCATCCACCCATATCCACCCCAACTTTCATTGAACCCACCTCTGTGGCCAGCTGTGGTGACCGGTTGCCATCCTCATCCACCTGGTCGTGGTGCATTTAGCCTCTTGTAATCTGGTGCAGGAATCATGAAAACCAAAAAAATGCTGTACATTGGTCATTGTCCCATCATTCCCATCAAAAGTTGGGATTTTAGATTTAGATTACCTCAGGAATCTATAGAAATCTCGTGTTCAAATCACTGGAAGGACCACTCAGCAGCTTTCGTTGTATCTTGGATGGATCTCGGAATACATTCATGCCAGTCTCCAGCTCGCCTCTCCCGCAAAGATCGACAACTGACGGAAGTGCAGGTGTGGGCCGTGCAGCGCCTGGCCGTGCCCCGTTTGGGGAGCCGAGCCAGGGGAGCCATGGGAGCAAAGTGACTCAAAAATCACTCAAAAATTGATAAAAATTGATAAACATGGTTGTACAATGTTGTACAATGTTGTACAATGTTGTACAATGGTCCCATGGTGCAGACGCCGGTGGCACCCTCACATGACTCGCGCAACTCCACTTCTCTACGAATCTGAGCTACTATTGCATCACACTGCATGACCAACTGACTTAGAAATGACTCACTCAGCTTATATCGACACGTAGAACTTGGATCAGTAACTGCAACGCTTTTTTTGCTTGAATTGAAGAAAGTCATTCAATTTCCACGAGCTGGTTTGTCTCGAGACCTTCATATTTGGAGCATTCAAAGCGCAAACGTTCCAGAACTGCTTCATCCAAAGGAGGTTTCTTGCTGCTCTTGTCCAGCATCCTCTGCACCTCTGACAAATGCTTCCGTCGACTTCGCCGCGTTTCCAGAAACTCCATGGCCACATGTTGCTTCCGTGCTGCCCCCACAGGGTTGGCCGGTCGCAATTCGCCAGGGCGATCCACATACTCCAAGACAGCCATGGGTGTGGTGTCACGTTGCCGGTACTTCCAAAGGTTCACAACACGAGAGACGTGGAAGTGTCGATCTTTGTATCTTGGCAGCAGGCGCTCGTAGAGGATTTGCCTCGCCTCAGGCGATGTGAGCATACTCTCCACCAGACCATCGTGGTAGGCCGAATTCTTCTTGGCCAAAAAAACGATCTCCTCAGCGTACTGCTGAAGTTCCTTCGCCCGAGCCAGTGAAGTTTCCAGGCGCTGATTGATGATCAAAATGTTCAGCATATCTTTCACCCATTTCCATTGCTGATGCGACGGTCCGAACACTCGATGGTAAACTCGTTTGCCCTTGGACCGCGCGCCCTTGGCGATAAAATTAGTTGTGGCTATCCAGCCCATCTTGAGCCAAGCTGGTGATTTCGATCAAGCGATGAATCAGTCAGTGTCTACATTAATGTACTCACCAACATCTTCATGAATCAAACCCCCAGGACATACTCAAACCGTCACGGCAACAGCTTCTTAGGACCAGTATCTTATCAAGAGTTCATGGAAAGGTCACGGTTGCACCCATGGGGACCCATTCCACTTTGCTGGTTTTGAGTTTGCTAGAAAATTTGATCCAACACTGAAGCCTGGCCAAGGCCACGAAACTCATGAAACCTATTGAAACCTGACATCATATCGTTTGCGATGCCTTCTCCACCATGAGACAAGCTCTCACCATGGCTGCCAAGCCGCTGGGCCTCGGGGATCACACCCTTTCTGGGCGAATCTCAACTGTGATGCAGAGGATGAAATCAAGTGCTCAGTGCAATAGCTTGGGTTACACCATGTTACACCATGGTGCTGCACACGTGTCTGATGTGCATCCCTGAGCTCCAGGCGGTCCTGTCTCTCCAATGACAGACTTGAAAGAGCACAGCACCTTCCCAGGAACCACCAGGAACCACGGAGCAGGCCCAAGGCTTGACCAAAGGAAGAGCCATGCAGCGCAGGCACCGCGCAGGCACCGCGCAGGCACGCACCAGTCTTGCCGAGGTCAAACTGAGGTCAGAACCTTGCTGCGCTCGCTCTGAAGGGTCTTCCTGGCGACGATGCAGATGTGGTCGTAGGTCAGAACATGTCAGAACATGTCAAATTAAATACTGCGCAAGGGAGCACAGGAGCATATGAGAGGAAGGTCTTCACCCCATGCCATGCATGTAGGATTCTACAACATTCTACAATGATTTCAGCCAGCTACCAGGGTTTTGAGAGGTTTGACCGTTTGACCCACACCTGTATCACACCATGTCTTGCATTGCACAGCCAAGTCCTTAAGACACCCAACTCGACCGCATCCATCAGCGAGTTGCCACCTGCGCTCACCTGGACACACTCTCCATCCATGTCACTTGGCTTGTTGCGAAGTAGACAGATGCAAGACAAGGAGTTCAACTTGCTCAGTTTGTCTAGAACAAAAGCCTTAAAATAAATGCCTTGAATATCTACTACTCTACTAAAGGCCAAAAGATTGCAAAAATGCTAATTGAAACTCTTGCGAACTCTCAGTTATCAACCTCGATGGCATCAACAATGCACGCAGGAGACTTCGCGTCCTGTCCCGCAAACGCACCGGTGGATGTGACAACGGCAGAACCTTTTGCTACTTAGATTGCCAGGTCTACGAGAAGCCGAATGTCAAAGCATCGAAGCTAGTTGAAGCTTGCGACTTGGGTGATACCAGGTTCCGGTATTTTGCATAATTTTTGCGACAAATCTCCCAGAACCATCCAAACAAATTGTGTATTCAGTGTATTCTTCGATAGCAAGTTTTTAATGCTTGGTGATTGGCCCTTGGATCGCAGAGTTTGGTACATCCCTTGAATCGAGGCTGCTGAAGTTCGCTATCCCAGAGATTTTGAAAGCAGAATTCCTTGAGCGCAGAATGAATGAGATCTTGCATGGCAGGACCTGGGCAAAATGCAATATCGAGCCGCTGGACGCATGCACTTTTTGTCAAAAACCTCACCTATAGGGCGTACTGGAAGAACGAACAAGAACCTTTTCAGAACCGACTAAACAGGATTGTTGTCAAAGCTGAGATCCCGAGCCACTGGGAGTGGTAAGACTGGAGCTCTGACCGCGTGAGTTTAGGGCAGAACCAGCTACGATGATCCTGCAATGGGTGCAACATCCCGAGTAAATGAGACTTTCTAGGGGCATACAGCAAGTTCTCCATACAATAGAAGTATATATAGTCATTATATAGTATGTAAAAGTAAGAGTTCAGATGGAGAAAAGAATGGGCTTGAAACTGTCAAGGAGTCAAAATGTGCAACTGCCATGAGATCAAGTTCATCATATGTATTGCTTTCAAGATCTTGTCAGAAGGCATTAGCATCATTAGCTCAGGGTGCTTGCCGGACATCTTGCAGGGATGAGACTGCTCCAATAAAAGCAAAACTGGAGTGACTTGTATCGCTTGTATAGTGGAATCCTTGTCTTCGTCAAGTCTTCTTCTTGAAGTTCTTCCTCCCACAAGTCCTGCGAGCAGCTCATGCTGAAAGCTCTGGAAGTGCTCAGGGCTTGGGGTTGACAGCTCCAGTCACAAGGAACAATTCAGGCTCATTGAACTACAAAGAATCTGAGGATACGGATGTTTAGCTGATAGGTTTGACTCACTCTCTGATCAACTTCCAAGCTAGCCTCTGCGAAATCAAAGCCAATTTCTTCTACCTCAAATGGAGCGTCTGAGCGTCATACACAAGAAATGCTTTGCGTACTTTGGATATCTGGGTGGCTCCTTCCAGAAACCGCATTCTCTCACAAATTTACAAGAGAAACCGGAAGGCTGAGAAGAAATATAAATTATAATGTAATATAATGTAAGTGTCCCTGAAGTTTGAACACATTGAACACTCGTTTCAGATCATTTCAGCAGCTCCACGGCTCAGGCCCACACTTTCCGTCGAGCAAAAGTCTCCAAAAAAAGGGCCACACTGCCTGCAGGATCTGCAGTGCATTCTGTCCAAGACCGTTCTGTCAAAAGTCTGCGCATTGGGCCATGCAACGCTCATGATCTGCCTGTATCTCCCTGTTGCATCACTTCGCTATGCGATCACGTTTGAAATCTTCGACATGACATGCCACGTCCACTCTTCCATGGGTACAGGGCGCAATGGAATCATCAGCTTGACAATCACTGTTGCATCTGTTGCCCTTTTCCATCACAGTCAGGCTGTTCAAAAGAGCGTGTGAAAGCCGCCAGTGTCACCCGCGCGGCGCTCTTCGCATTCTTCGCCAGCTTGGCATTCACAGATTCAAAAATGCTAAAGGCAAGCCGCAAGCCCTGCTACCCAGGGTGTGGCATTGCTGGCGAATGGAAGCGAATGGATCTTCATACTCCAGGGGAAGCAAGGTTGGAGCGAAAGGACTCTTCGATCGCTTCCTTCCACGAGGCTATTTGTTTTGTCCAGGGACACAGCCGAAAACCCATGGAGTGGTGTCCTGAGCAATAAGTCAATCTGAGCCGATCTGCGTCAATATTTGGCCAAGTTTCTTAGTGGTGTCAGCCGCGCCATTCGCACTCCGCTCAAGAGCAATGGCCACCCACCACGGCCAGGATCATCATATCGAAACACGTTAAGCGTCGCCGCATGTCCCAATCGCCTCCCAGAATGGTGTTGCGATGTGTTGCGCTTGATGTGAGTGACAGCTCGCTACACTGCTTTGAATTCACAAGACTGCACAAAACAACTGAAGCGCATGCCTTTTTCCACGAGGTTCACGGTGTTCACGGCATTCACGGGATCTGGTGCCCTCGACCACCTCCAATCAGCTGCTTCCAAAAAAGTGTGACGCACCAAAAGTATCTGTGGTCAGGAGTCCTCATCTTCCTTTGTATGGGCTGCAAATATGTCTAGGATTCATTCGCTGTCTGTAAAGCACAATGAATTGTACGTGTTTTTTGTAGTATGTTATGCACAAGATAAAGGGCATCTTGTCTACACTCTGATTGAACTTATAGTATATGATTCCAAATGTTTGACTGTGAAGACAAACGTGTAACGTTTCTCGCTCCGAATTCTGGTTGAAACAAAGATTGCTATGATTGCTGATATTGCCATCGTAGTGGAAGACCAACGGACAATTTAAAAATAAAAAAAAACATAAAAAACAAGATACTGAAAACTCTAACAGCTACCATGGTTACAACAGGTAGTCACCTCAATTGAAAAAAAAAAAGTTGGAACTCTCCCGTTGGTGCAAATCTTCACCTGCATCGGTGCAAATCACATCGCCCGGCGCAGAGTCAGCGCGAGCGCATTGGTAGCCCACTGTGGACAGGGCTTCAAGAAATGCGATGTCCTGGCAGGTCTCAAAGTCGGACAAAGACAGGAAGATCATGGAAGATCTGCTTGAAACAAAGAGAACAAAAATGGAAACAAACGGCTTGCGTGACAATCTCTATGTAGATGCCTTGCTGCAGTCACCTCTAGCACCTTTTTCAACTATTTTTCGGTGTCGAGTTTCTTCTGCTCCCTTCTGCTGACAGCCCCCACATGCCACAGGACCCGGCCTTTCCACCAGAGTCGAAATACGCATTGTTTTCAGCCCAAATGATTGGTCGAAACTGGCTGATCACTCCCAGAGCACCTGATTCCGACGGAAAAATGAACTAAAGCTGCAATGCAATACTGCAGAGGTACTTCCAAGTGTCTCCAAAGTTGCTGCGGTTTGGAGAAGCTTGTTTTGGTGTCTTGAAAGTGTCATGCTGTGGCGTGGCATCATGGGCTTTACGAAATTTGGCGACAAGCGTGTCAATGATTTGGATTTGCTTTCAGGTTATGTAGTTGGAGTTGCATGCTTGCACCGCGAAAATCCATGCAGGCGGATCTGCATGCAGCTCGCTCCCCGTACGTCTTGATCATCTGTTCTTTACCTGTCGTTTTTGTTTGCAATGCTTTGTTCCTCTTCCTTCTGCTGTATTTTCATATGTACAAACCCCAAACAAACCTTGTTAATGTCTGCGCGCAGCTCATTTCACTGAGGAATGAGCACTTTTTTGGTGACACCTTCGATGTGCTGTGTTTTCATATGTACAAACTCCAGGCATACTTTGAAAACATCTCTGTGCTGCGCATTCTATTGGAGAAAGCCATGCCATGACCACACCTTCGATCTGCTGTGTTTTCATATGTACAAACCCCAATCAAACCTCAATTCTAGGCAGCGGACGAAACCTACAGTTGCCGCGCGCAAAAAAAGAAATTAATTGAACTTTCCTTTAAAATCCTGTCGCACCTGCTGGCATCGTCCGGCCCCATAGATTTGAGGTTTGAACAAGGTTTGCTTGAGGTTTGTACATATGAAAAACCAGCATGCCAGAGCTTTGCCACTTGAAGTGTTCCTGCCATTGTAAAGTGTCCGATGGGACGTGTATTCCGAGTTTGTTCGAGGTTTGTACATATGAAAACACAGCATGTTAGAGTACTGGCAGCCAGCGTGCTTTTCTTGAGTCTTTTCCGGGCGGGTTGATGCTTGCTCATGTTGCCGGAAGCGTTAGCACAGACCTCAATGTTTGAGAGAGAATGGCAAATCCATGTGTCTCACAGGCAGATTGCCATTCAGCAACTACTGCGTCAGTAGTCTGGCTGCTGGCTTTAGATTTCATCTTTACTCTATGTGTATCCCCTTGCCCCGGAATTTTAATATTGGATGTTGTGCAAACGAGAAGCTTCTTGGATTGATCGCACACCGGCGCGTTCGATTTTTCACGTTTATGTTTGTATCAACATTGGTCTTGGGGGCAGAGGGGGGGAGCTCGTTGAATCTAATTCAAGCTTTGGAAAGTATTGTGATCCTGGAGACTCATGAGTGTACCTCCTCAGTGTCAACATAATACAGAAAAAACGGTGTATGATCTTCGATTCTGGCATGATGACGCATGAAGAGAGTCACGTGCTTCGCTGGTTGAAGAATGGAACTTTATGCTAGACATACGCCTGGGTTGTGCGAGCATCTGTAAAAGGGTTGTCGGGCACATTCACTGGGAGTTTTTTTTTGGCGCCGCAACATTTCTTTTCGTTTTGGACAGTTTGTGTCTCTTTTGACAGAGGCCATTTTTAGTTTCAATTTCTGGGAGACCGCTTCTATTGTTTCATTAAGCGAAGCCAAAAATGGCTTCATTTTTGGGATCAATTTTTGGCTTCGAGTTTGGAGCCAAAATCATCTTTTTTGGCGTTTGTGGCAGGTAATTCCCGATTGACTTGTGTTGGACGCGAGGATGCGAGCAGAGTGAGTTGTTGCTGCTCTGCTGTGGTTCTACAAGCATGATTCCGGCAGCTTCGCTCTGAAACAAATCCCTTGCCACAGGCTGCCATGATGGTGTATCCATGAGTTGACACATGCTGCCTTCTAGGCTTCAAGACGATGCAGCGGAACTGCAGAGGTACTTCCAAGTGTCTCCAAAGTTGCTGCGGTTTGGAGAAGCTTGTTTTGGTGTCTTGAAAGTGTCATGCTGTGGCGTGGCATCATGGGTTTTACGAAATTTGGCGACAAGCGTGTCAATGATTTGGATTTGCTTTCAGGTTATGTAGTTGGAGTTGCATGCTTGCACCGCGAAAATCCATGCAGGCGGATCTGCATGCAGCTCGCTCCCCGTACGTCTTGATCATCTGTTCTTTACCTGTCGTTTTTGTTTGCAATGCTTTGTTCCTCTTCCTTCTACTGTATTTTCATATGTACAAACCCCAAACAAACCTTGTTAATGTCTGCGCGCAGCTCATTTCACTGAGGAATGAGCACTTTTTTGGTGACACCTTCGATGTGCTGTGTTTTCATATGTACAAACTCCAGGCATACTTTGAAAACATCTCTGTGCTGCGCATTCTATTGGAGAAAGCCATGCCATGACCACACCTTCGATCTGCTGTGTTTTCATATGTACAAACCCCAATCAAACCTCAATTCTAGGCAGCGGACGAAACCTACAGTTGCCGCGCGCAAAAAAAGAAATTAATTGAACTTTCCTATAAAAACCTGTCGCACCTTGCTGGCATCGTCCGGCCCCATAGATTTGAGGTTTGAACAAGGTTTGCTTGAGGTTTGTACATATGAAAAACCAGCATGCCAGAGCTTTGCCACTTGAATTTTGTTGCTGCCATTGTAAAGTGTCCGATGGGACGTGTATTCCGAGTTTGTTCGAGGTTTGTACATATGAAAACACAGCATGTTAGAGTACTGGCAGCCAGCGTGCTTTTCTTGAGTCTTTTCCGGGCGGGTTGATGCTTGCTCATGTTGCCGGAAGCGTTAGCACAGACCTCAATGTTTGAGAGAGAATGGCAAATCCATGTGTCTCACAGGCAGATTGCCATTCAGCAACTACTGCGTCAGTAGTCTGGCTGCTGGCTTTAGATTTCATCTTTACTCTATGTGTATCCCCTTGCCCCGGAATTTTAATATTGGATGTTGTGCAAACGAGAAGCTTCTTGGATTGATCGCACACCGGCGCGTTCGATTTTTCACGTTTATGTTTGTATCAACATTGGTCTTGGGGGCAGAGGGGGGGAGCTCGTTGAATCTAATTCAAGCTTTGGAAAGTATTGTGATCCTGGAGACTCATGAGTGTACCTCCTCAGTACGATGCTAAAAAATGCCATGAAATTGCATCCCGAACATCGAAGGGTGGCCGTTCAGCCAAAAGAAAGATCTACCTTCCAGATCTTCCAATGGATTCTTCCAGTATTTCACCTAGTATTTTGGCAGTTGGCAGATTCTTCCAGATTCTTCCAGATTCTTCCAGATTCTTCCAGATTCTTCCAGTATTTCACTAAAAGTGTTCCATGTCGCTACTCGGAACTCGTCTACTCCGAGCTCCACATCCTGCCTTGAACCACTGCCACCTCCATTCCTTCCACGTCAATCCTGGGATTTCATGAAATGTTCATGAAAACGTTGAAATGTTGAAATGTTGAAATGTTGAAATGTTCATGAAAATTGGATCAATTCGGAAAAAAAAACAAGACCTAAGTCATCTAAGTCTGTACCTAAGTCATCCTAAGTCTGTCTCCATGCAGTCTACAGGTTTGCTCGCTTTTGTATGCTTTTGTAGCCCCAGGTTCTTGATCAGCCTGACGTCTTGCACCAGTGGCAAGGCCCAGCTTTGAGCTTTTTCAGGATCCAGCAAGAGATCATCCAAGCGCAGCACACGCACTGTCTCCTCGCATTGGGAAAGTCTCGGAAGTGTTTATGCTTGGGAAACCATCTGAATCTACACTGAATCTACACTGAATTCTAGACTGTTTTACATGTTGTCGATCTCTGTTGCCTGTCATCCAACATGACCTACATGACTTCATAATCAAAGCGCTCCAGCTCTTGAGCTAAGAGGTCGTACAGCTGGAAAGATTCATGCCTTGACAAAACAGTTCTGCTCATCACTTGGAGACTGATAGGGCTTGCTTCAAAACACATCAGGATAATGATGTTTATCCATATTTATCCATCGTTTTTGAGCCTGCATAGTACATTGCATGGCATGGACATGGCATTTGCTGTGCATTTGCGATCAAATGCTTGGAATGTTCCAACAAATAACCCCTAAAATGAAGCAGCCACGGTGCACCTGCTCACGACAAGGCGGATCGAAGTAGTACATTTAAATACATTTAACACATCAGATTCTGAAAGCAAACAGAATAAACAGATTTCAAAAAACGAAAACGAAACCTGAGTCCTCTGAGTCCAGTGACTATCCGACAGTCCCGTGAGTCAAGTACCAAGATGTACCAAGATAGCGAGGGTAACGAGGACCCGTGCTTCGGTTGCGAGGCACTGGTGCTTGGACTGCAGCTCCTGCTGTTGTCCTTTCAGCCGCACCCCGCCAGGCGAAGAAAAGAAGCGCAACTGCGGCGGGTATAGCGGCATGCGCCTGCCGCTGCGCTAAAGATACCCAAAGGGCACCATGGTAAATCTTGGTAAATCCGCTTGTAAGATGTTTCACCCCAGAAAGAGTATCCAAACCACAATAAACGGACCACAACTCCACTTCAATGGCGTCAAAATGCATAAAAGTTGGCAGACAAAATCCAAAGCTGAGGGGCTCTTCAGCTTGACCCAAAGCCGCGTTCACCGGCCAAACATTCTGCAGACCTCAGGGCGGCCCGGTAAAGTTTGGATTGAGGATTCAATGATTCAACTTGCAACGTTTAAAGTGCAGGACTTGGTGCCCCAAATCTTTGAAAGGAATCACCAAGTCCTGGATTGGTGAACAACATGTGCAGCCACCTGCCCTGGCACCTCCAAGTTTCAACTGCCCATGGAATCAAACTCATCCATAAATTCCCCAATTAAGAAACGTTTCACTGTGTCTAGATGGCCTAGCCCTTGCCCAATGACAAACACAGTTTTAGAAGTCCTGGGGGACGTGCGGCCATTTTTGAGTCTAAGGATCCGTTGATGGCCACATTGGCCACCACCAACTGATGAAGCCAGCGGAAAGGTTCAAAGGCAATGACGTGGCCCTTGGGCCCAACCGCCTGCGAAAAGGCAGATATCAGTGGAGTCCAAGGGTACAGATTACCATTGGTCTACCATTGGTCTACCAATGTCTACCAGGTCTACGGCTGTTCCCACCTCAGCCAAGGCTACAGTGTAGCAGCCCAAGTTTGCGCCCACGTCGATGGCCACGTCTCCGGGTCTCAACAGCATCTGCATCTGGTAGCTCTGCAAATGATTCATGGAGCCCTGCGAGGGAAACCAAGTCGTAAAGATGTTTTGGCGTTTCGGATGGAGTTACGTTTGAAGGAAATGCAGCAACTCCTCTGCATCAACTTTTGAAGTTTCACTTCTTGCTCGCTGAAAAAAGATTGCCAATCAGCTTTGGTCAGCACAAGGTATCGTGGTCATTCCTCTTCTTACTTGACCAGTCATGACTCACCACAGGGCTGTCCTGATTTTTGATGGCGTGTCCAATGTTCACATCGAAGAAGGGCAGCACAAAATGATGTGGCGTGCGTCGCTCCAGTCTTACAAACTCAGCAGAGGTGTCCTCGAGTCTCTCTCTCTCTAAGGATAATCCTTTTGGGATGTTGTGCATCACAGGCACCGGCGAACCACAGCCAACTCATACCAAGCGATATCACCCTCCAAATGTTGTCCTGAAAAGGCTGAAGAGGCACATCTGAGATTCTCCTGCCACAAGCAGCTGTGAATTCTGTAAACCTTAACTGCTTTGAAAATTTGGTGCCCAAAATGCCGCTGCGAACAGCAACCGTCACATTGGTTGTGACTCAAACAACTGTCGTTGCAGTCGTTTCATCCATGCCTTTTGGGCCCGGGAGGCTGCTGCGATGGTGGCATCTGCATGTGTGGCTCGCGGTGATTCACCACGACCTCGGTACTCTAAGTCAGAAAACGCCCCGGATTATCCGGACACATCCGGATTTTGATGTCTTAAGTCTTAAGCCTTCAATATCTTACATCTTGTTTACATCAACGTCAAATTTTGCGCTGTCTTGCGCTGTGAAGCTGTGCTGTCTTGCGCTGTGAAGCTGCGCTGTGTTGCGCTGTGAAGCCGGACGATGGTTGGATGGTGTTGACCACCCACGAAGACGTCCTTGGATACTTCTGGGGCATGGCCTTGGGCGGTTTGACGCAATGTTGATGTGTTTCTCGACCAAAAAACACACGACACAAAAATGCAGCAGACGCTTAAGAGCCTGACGCAAAACGAACAAGCATCTTGTGTAACCTGCCAGAGCACAGAGTTCGCATGAAACCACAAGAGATTTTCGGCAAGCCTGATGTCAAGTGTTTCTGTGGAAATGACTTATCATGGACATCAATCCGAGACCCAGGCGATGCAAGTTCGCTTCCTGGTAAAACCCAGGGCCATGAGAGCTTACAGCCAGAAGATACCTCCTGAGCCAGAAATATGCCGAACTGGCAACACATTCATTCATGGAGCCACTGATCTGGTGGCCTCTCTTCAACCCGCTCCTGCAGCTTTCAATGGTGAGAGTACTGTTGTTAATGCCTGCCAACTGCTCTGCCTTGCGCTCAGAGAGTGCTGGCTCCAAACGCATGTCATAGAAGTGTGAAAATTGAAAAGATTGAAGGAACCCGGTGCCAGAAACAAGATGCTTACATCAGTAGGGATTGATCATATCGAGTGTTGGTTGCTGAATGATCTTGGCAGAGCACTACAGTCCCTGCACTTCCTGCCTGAGAGATTTCTTCAGCCCGGACCAGCAGCACAAGCAACGGGAGCCAAGTCATCGGACAAGCGAAGTCATGAAGCTAAAGTTGTTTGCAGTTGTTTACTGCCAAGGGAAAGGGCATCGTAGTGAAAGGATTGAAGCAGCATGAAGCAGCTGAAGTTGAGCCAAAATACAGCTTGACATTGCAACAAACAAGTCATACAGCTGTAACTGATAGTATCAGAAAGCGTATGACTTCTCCCAGATCAATCCACCGGGAAAAACAAAGACAGGCTACAGCGGCTACAGACTGTACAGATCAATCCACATGCCTTCACTGCGCACAACGCCATCTGCTGATTCATCGAAGGCCTCAGCTCTACTTCAGCACGGTATACCGCCATGGAAGTCCGTGGGACAGAAAATGGCGTAGAGTCATCCGAACCTCAAAGTAATACATCTAAGTTCCCCTCCCAAACAAGACTCCACAGTTCCATTCTTTCCTTTCTGATACAACAGAACATCCATCTACAATCAAAAAAATCACAAACCCGGATTTTCTAGTGGGGGCTGGAAAAACATCCCCAATATTGCCCAATTTGGAGCTTGTGCTCGAAAAGGAATTGCTGGTAACCTCTGATGGCCTGAGCAAAAGCGACTGAGCAACACGCTCGTCCTCGCCCCGTGGCAGAAAGTTGGCCCATGGCCTTTACACCGCTTTGTTGGTCCATGGTGATCCCGGTGATCCATTGTGATCCATGGTGATCCATGGTGATCCATGGTGATCCATCAGCGACAGCAACGTCAATCAGCCCACTTTGGAAAGCATTGACAAATCAGGCAGTGGTAAAGCTGCACGCTGCCCTTGCATTCCTTCCATTGCCTTCTGCAGTCTGTTGACCGTTTCCCTGCTTCAATGGTTTTCCATTAGACTCATTAGACACTAGCTCCTATAGTTCTCATGTTTTCTTCTTTTTTCTGTATGATTGATGTGCCTTCAACACACCAGTTGATGATTGATGACACCTCCGCACACTGAATTGCTGAGACCCTCACGCAGCAGACAATCAGTGTCACAGGGTGCTGGATCTGGGTGTGGCTGAGATCCGTGGCTGTTCTGATCATTCACAGAGTCCCAGCATGTCTCAGCACTTGGTGTCCCGGCCAATTGCATGCTGCAAACCACAGCTTTGCTGCAACGAGTCTGCGCAGCTTTAGATCAACACAGCTTTGCAGAGGCTTTGCATGCTTTGCACGGAAAAAAAAAGCTGCTGTCACGCTGCTGTGACAGGCCTCACGGCCGTAGTTCAGTGCAGTATCCATCGCGGCCGCACCAGAGGACTCTTCGGTGTCTATGCAAATGCTGGGCCTGGTATCACAGTGAAATTATGCTGCAGACACACAGTGAAGTCACCTTGACAAATTTGACAATGGTTTTGCTGTTTTGCTCATTCTTGCCACTCAAGTCCGTGCGAAAGGTCGCCAGTGGGCTCTGGTGCAAGGGATCTGAGGGCAGCACCCTTTCGTACCGTAAAACCATGCGATGCGGTTAACGTAGCCAGCGTTGCTCCTCAGTGGCAATTGCATCACTTGACCACTTGAAAAGAGCATGCAGAGAATCCGACAAGCAAAAGAACCTCCAATCAGCCTTTCTGGCATATCAGACTATTGTACTCACACTTCGCTTAGCTGGTTGTTAATGAAAACCTATTGCTACTAGGGCCAAGGTTAAGTGGATCTCAAGTGAAAGATCTCAGAACAACCAGCCAGGAACAAGTAGTTTTTGTTTTAACCAGCCCCACAAAACCAATGGGTTTGATGTTCTTGTAGAATCACGCATAACTGCATGAAGCTACGAAGCTTCCCAGGGGTCTGTGCACGAAAATATCAAAAGTTCCAACGACAGAATGTCAAAAGTCCTACCTGACAGAAAATGAACAGACAAAAAACAACTATTTCATCACTATTTCGAAGGATGGCTCAGACAAGTGGAACTAATGCCAGAGGTGATGAGTGTAGCCGTGCAATCCCACACACGGTCAGGCCTCTCAATTCTGCTTCATTTCTGCCAAGAATCAGCAATCCCTGCGCAGCTCGACCAAGCGACTTCACATCACCTGTCATCAGCTCATGGTACCTCCGGCAGGGGAATGATTGGATCCCCAGTTCAATGGACGACCTTCGACTTCTCTCAGTTCTGCAGGGCACATTTCATTGCCAGACAAGCCGCAAAAGAAACCTGGGAAGAAAATTGGAGAAAGCTGCACCAAGCTAGCCAAGCAAACATGATGTCAAAGAAACCAGGACAGTCATAAGATACGCCTGACATTGAAGATAGAAACACTTGCTGTTGCTGACAGGTGGTTGACATACCCGACAATGTGCTTCAGACACTGCCACTTTGATGGCACTTCATTGCCTCATGCAAACTGGTCACCCAATTCTGAGCGTAGGACCGAGATTTTGCCCTCTGAGCTCTTGCTTGCCTTGGATATTGAAATGAAAAATTACGCAAGTTTGAAACCGCGCCTGTAACTAAACAAACCTTTTTTGGGGGGAACATCGTCTTTGCAACTTCAACACACCATGCTCGGTTCTTGGCTCAAACCTGATTTCCCCAGGCAGTCTTGGACCGAATGAAGCAGAAGTGATTGCCGAGGGTCGTCCTAGCATGGCACAAATCTTCTGTTGAGACAAGTGTCAGGTTCCTAGCCTTGATATAGGATTTGTAGAGCATGGAAAGCAGTGCCCAGAAAAGAATTGATAACCAGCAATACTAGAAATTGCAGATAATTGGTGACTAATAATGACTACTATGCAATAGATATTAATGTATATTATTAGATATTCAAAAACTAAAAAAATCATGGATATAAATAGATATTCATGGATATTAGCAGATATTCATGGATATTCATGGATACCAATAGATATTCATGGATATTAACAGATATTCATGGATATTCATGGACACAAATGGATATTGATGGACAAGAAAATAGATAGTCATGGATATTAATAGATATTCATGGATATTAGCAGATATTCATGGTATTCATGGATATTAATAGATATTCATGGGTATTAATGGATATTCATGGTATTCATGGATATCAAAAGATATTCATGGATATTAATAGATATTCATGGATATTCACGGATATTTCATGATAACTAATTCGAATCAGAAACTGTAGTTGGGCCGTCCTGGCTGAGGCCAAAGGCTGAGAGCTCCTCAAAGCTCATGGACCCGAAACTCTCGAGCACACCCATGTGCCTGTCAGCCGGGCAAAGGTTGCACCTAAGGTATTGGGAAGGAGTCGCAAGACTGGAACTAGATGGAACTATGGTTGTATTATGTTGCATTATGGTATATGTATGTATATGTATGATTATGTATGTACATCTACATCTACAAGAATATAACATAATCAACATATACAAATTTTATACACAAACGGCATCAGCAACACTGTTCTGTGTTTGTCCGAATCACTTCGCCCAAGATCTGGAAGTTGAAGGAGCAAGAATCATAAAGAATCTATTGAGCTCCCGTGAAATCAGCCTCGTGTACATCTTGAAGTCATCGCGACTGCCAGGGTCTGGATCGAAATACCTCAATCCAACAGAGTTTTAGGTGGCCTTGAGGAATCAGTGACAAGGTTGACAAGGTAGCAGATCTTAGCAGCTACTTAGCAGCCACTTCCTCTTAAAGTCAACCAAAACAAATGAAAAATCATCGAAAATCTGACATCCAAAACAGGGTCATGGAGTCATGGAGTCATGGAGTCATGGTCCTTTTTGCACTCCCCGCACAGCGATTCACCGTGCCCACAAGGGGCCCACGGCGGCCAGGAGCCTCAACCTTCATGGCAATGGGCAAGTTGGGTAGAATATTTTCTACCCCCCATCCTTCAGGCGGCATGAGATGTTGCATTCAAGCAAGTATTCACTTGTATTCATTTGTCAAATTGTCAAATCAATTGTCATCAATTGTCTAATCAATCCCTAAATAGTCATTCTGAGATATTGTGATCTTGAGGATGCAAGATAACTCCTTGAGCAATGCGCACATGCGCCTGTGCCACCTGCTGCCACGAGTGAAACGCCGCCATGGCAAGTTGGCTCAGGACAGCTGGGAGCTGTGGTCGCTGAGCGCTTACTTTGTTGCCGGCGCGGTCGAGCGGCACAAAGTCACTGGCTTTGTACGGGACTTTAGAGGGGTCCAACTTGTTCTGAATCAGACAAGGCTCGCTGCCATTCGCTTTATGATCTTATGGCAACTTGGACCAACAGTGGTAAGCAGGGCCCCCCAAAAGAATCTCTGCCCTGCCAGGCATGAGTCTGCAGTGACACCCCTACAGTCACAGTATGTCAAACAAAGGAATCCCCGGTGAAAAGTTCGAGTACAAGCAGGCAGCAAAATGCCGCAGTCAACATCGAAGTATGCTGAAAGCCTGGTCAGGCTGCATCCCGCTTTCCGGAAACTCTCAAAAAAAAAACGGCCCAATTACATGCGAACAGCTGAGGAGAGCAAGCACTCTGCACCGCGTGCATAGGCATCGCAGCTCTCAAAGACTTTACAAAAGACTCACAGTGGACCCGCAGTCAACGGCATTCCTTTACAAGTTGCAATCGGCTCCCGATCGGCTCCCAGTCACTTCGGTCACTTCTTCTTCTTGCTGGGAGTCTTCAGTTCCATGTAGACCTGACCTTCCGCCTTCGCTTCGGAATCCGGAAGTCGATGCATCAACTTGAAGCCATGCCTCAGTCAGGTCCATGTATGCAGCTATTATGGTATATATCGTTTGTGTATTATTTAATTATATATATATAATTTAATATATATATATAGCTCCCTAGCAAAAACATATGCCCGCCTCTTGTAGAATTTGATGGACCCCGGCAGGGAGGACAAGCCGATGCTGTGAATCTCGGGAAGGCGCTTGGCCTCTGCGATCAACGTTTTCAGCAGCAAACTACCGAAGCCCATGCGGCGATGTTCCTGTGCCATGTGCGGATAATGTGGGACTGAGACATCTGAGATATGTGAGACATCTGAGACATGTGAGACATGTGACGTGAGTCGACGTGAGTCGACGTGAGTCGACGTGAGTCGACGTGAGTCCGTTGAAATAAGTGGGACAAGTGGGTCCGTCCTCCGGAACAGCCAACTGCGCAATGATCAAAGCGTTCCTTTCTGGCTTGATGCGAAAAACAATAAATCCCATCATCTCAATCTGCCTTAGGACAGCAGGCCAAATTCAATGCATCAAATCGTATGATAGTCATGATATTTCGTCTCTTGAAGTCGAATGCTGACGAATCAACATTTTGTGGCATCCAAGACACTCATTCCGTTGTCCCACGGCAACATGCAGGCGCCAGCCGCCTCTGTGATAGTGACAGCGCAATTTCAATCTACAGATTGAAATCCAATCAATAAAGTCAGCGGAGACCAAATGCTTTCCAGTAAAAGTAATGTCAAGTTGAAAAACACTTCAGCCAACGTTTTTGTGAAGTGAAAAGGAATAGGAAAGAGAAACAGGAGGGTCAAACAATTCAAAGTAATTAAGGCATCCCTAAGCATACTATTGTTGCGCATTCCGAGTGGGAGACTGAAGTCCAAGAAATCTTCGAGTTCATCAAATGGCCTCGCTTTGAGCATCCAGCCAAGGGATCTTCGTTAAAGATGTCACTGCCAAGAGCAGTGACTTGCTCGAGCACTGGGCGCTTCCTAACGGATGCTTCACGAACAGAGAACGATCAGGAAACGGTGGGGTCCATGTGTGCTAGACATATTCCTTGCAGAGAGAGAACCCATGCCAACATATTCCAACCACCTCCAGCCTCCTGATGCAACAGCAGTCAATGAAACGCAATATAAATATGTTCTACACCTCTAGATATTTCTCAAGCCGCAAACAGAATTAGATCCCTTGGCAAGCCCCTTTGCAAGTTAGCCGCTAGCCGTTGCTTCCAAGGAACTTCGCATCGTTTTTATCTGCTGCGGGCTTTACATCCAGCCACAGAGACGTCACCCACTCCGCCGAGGACTCTGCCTCGATCTCGCTGGCGAACTCTGTGCTTTCCGTCTCGGCGTCGGTCCGGGACTCTGTGCGAGACTCCTTGGCATCCGCCTTGGCGTCCGCCCGGGCCTTGACATCATCGGTCCACAGGACCGTCATAGCTAGGCGAACCACAAAAACCAGGGGCGCACCAAGCGCCAAGAGTCGTTCCTGGCTCACCACATTTGGGCCACACAGCTATCGCAGCTACAAGTCATGTGCACATGTTTTGGTGTCAACTTTCAGAAAGTTTCAAAGCAGTCTGAGAAAAGATGTGCGCAATCATCTCGGTGCAATGACGATTGGACAGTGATTGGACCCGACAATTTCTCTAGAATCAGAATTTCTTCTGCATAAACTAGAGAACTTGCAAAAATTTGCACAATTTGATGTCCTTGGGTCTTAGGTCCAAACGCATCGAGATCCCATTTCGACTTGGGAATCTCGCTGATGCAGTCAAAACCACCCAAAGCCTTGGTGGATTGACGACAGTGGCACCCTCAATCTTTCCAGGACCTTCCAGGACCTTCCAGGACCTTCCAGGACCTTCCAGGAGTCCGGACAGTCCCTTCCCATTTGGAGGTCTCAGCGCCCACTCCACACGGCAATTGGTGCGAGATCTGGCGAAAAACATCTGAGCTGCTCAAGGCACTGGCGATTTCCAGAAGTCTCACAAAAGGTTTTGAAATGTTTTGAAATACGGATTGTCTTTCCTTTTTTTCTATGTTTTTTCTGTGTTTCTTTGATTTGATGCAGGCTTTCCATCCGCATTTGACATCATTTGACAAGACTGTAACAGTGCCAAGACTTCATCCAGCCTCCAGAATCTTCATCGGTCTGCTCCTGCCAGAAAGGCGTGTCGCGAGCACACACGGAATAGCGAATGCTGTCTATGCGACACGGTGATTTGGATGAGATGAATGTGATGAATATGAACATACATATATACATAATTATACATATGTATGTATATATATATATAATTATATATGTATATACATATATAATCTGAATGATGTGTTTCTGTGATCCAGATTTGTGCTGAAGTTCATTTTTCCCTGCTTGCAACTGCTCAGCCAAAAGGCTCTCGCCTCATGAATGTCTGTCTGGCGAGCTTGATCCACTCTTCCGGCACATTCTCCTGACCAGCCCAAAACGCAAAAACTAATGAAACTCTCCTTGTGTCATTGCGCGGAAGTGTTATGAAGCTTTGTACATCTCAGTACCATGTGATTCGATGTGTCCAGCTCTTATGTTTCCTGAATTTCTACATCTTCTGAATCTTCTCCAGACAAATCTGCCACATAGAACTCCTATGAACTCCTATGAACTCCTGCACGTCGTTGTCAGCGATGGCTTTCAAACGTCCAAGCAGCCAGCTTTGCAGCTCCTTCGCAGATCTACCGACTACGACTCATATGTTGACTAATCATCATCTCTTCTGTCTCTTCTCTCGAATCGAGGAACATTTGAATCATTTTGAATCATTTCTATTCATTTCTTAGCGTTTCTGATCTGTGAGTCTGTGCTTTCGATCCGCTTGACCTACCTGCATTCTGAATCGCTTTCAAAAGGTTGAACATACAAAGCCGGTCCGGTGGAGGTGGTACTCGGTCAGAGGCTGACTCCTGTGGGACATAGTTAACATCTTGTCAAGCACAAAATCAAACGCTTGAAAGATCTAACACCCACTGCCCTTCCCTGCAGTTTCAAACCCATGATTTTAGGTGCTCAGAAGACCACAGGCACCGTGGATGAAAACACAAGGCTTCGCTCGCACTTGAGCAGCTGACAAATGGAGCGTGCTTCATCTCTGGGAAGAAATCAACCTACACCATCCAGGGTTTGCCGAAAGGATTAAGAGCTGTTCCAGTCAAGTAGGAAAAGGATGGAAAAGGATGGAAAAGGTGACGAAGTTGATAAATGTTGGCACCATTGGTCAGTTCGTCACACCGCAATTGATCGCGACACCTCCACCAGCACGCAAGGCTCTGAGAGCTGCGGATTCAACGAGCAGCTGCAGGCCTGGTGCAAGCTGCCGTCGAA